AAGTGGAAAGTATAGCCAACTACAATAGTGGTTGGTCGAACTGACTTGAATTCCCACCAACCCGAATACAGCCAATCAGAATCAAAGGCACCAGCCACAGGCTAGAACGCGCTAGGAGACTTTGGATATGGCTATTGCTTAATTGTTAACTGCTAAGGAGGAGAGAAAAGAAGCTATCTACAATGTAGGTCTATGATATAACATAGTACGCCACCTAATTTAATATGGGAGTGAATGCCAGAATATGCTTAACATCTACTTTATTCATATTTACCCGATTAGTCGCTTACTAATGTCAATATGTAAATTTCATCGTAAAGATTTAATTTTATGGGGCCAACTGGCCTATGAAAGGAATCAAGAGAGCGGTCTGTCTCTTCATTGAAGTAGTGTGAAAAGGGCGTGGCGTTATACATATGCAACAGTTGAGGCTATCCAGACGTCCCGCCTGTGACCCGTCTGCACCCTACTGTACAAGTGAAATGATGGAATAGTTGGAATTCAACGAGAATTGAAAGATTCTAACAAAATACCATCATTTTCATGCATTCACTAAATGGTATTATTATATCTATGCATTCGATGAGCAAACCTTCTACAAACTCGTTGATATTCTCAATTCCCCTAAAGCCTCCGAGGTTGAGGTTTGCACCTTCCTCGTCGGCCTCGACCTCAACCTCGATGTGGCCACCCAGAAGGGAAGGGATTTAGAATTGTGGTCGCGGCCGCTCTTGAGGTTGAATGAGACCTGTAACACAGACCCGTTTAGACAAACCACATTTCTGAACCTAGATGATGAAACTCCCGGGCATCTTTTCGAGTGGTTAAGTCGGTGAGGGGAAAGTCGAGGGGGTGCCGGCCGTTTCCGTATGTTATAGAGATAACACAACTTGCTTAAGTTCTCTTAATCGGATTTGTCTCGATAACTGGCGTATGAACTTCGATCTTCACCCAACTCCTTCAAAGGTATGTATTTTGCCAAGAGCTATAGTATGATTATAACTTCTGGCCACAAAATCCTTCCATTGCAACTTCTCGTACCCCAAACCCCTTCAAAATCTCCATCTGAAAGCATTTAGTAATCGGCCACAACTTCACAAGATCCCTCTGATTACTGCCCCGAGAATCAACCCCGATCTGCGTATGGCGGAAGAGCGCCAACCACCTAATTAGGATGAGTTTTATCTTTCTGGCTCAAAACAGTCCACTTTGTGCTGACTTTGTGCTGTTTCAGAATTAACTTATCCAAGCTGCAAGAGATAGCGAATAAGTGATCACAAAATCAAAACATGCTACCTATCACACTCTTGGAGGGGCCGCGTGTAGACGTGCGCCTAAAAGGTAAAGCTCCACTTTGTGAATGCTTGGATTCTTGGAAACTTTCGAAAAGGGAGAGGCGTTATACTGTACAGCATCGGCACTTTGAGGTCGAGGGTTGAAGGACTTGGCTGCTACTGCTTATCTTTTGGGTGCGGGCGTAGCCTTATTGAGGAGTCTGGAGTGCCTGTTCTTCGGGGAAGTTATTTGGTTGCCTGGCATCTTGTGCTCGGAACACTCAATAATATGTTCCAGAAGTCCGAATTGAGGAGGAATGCACAAATTGTGACCTGCATTATCTATGTTTCGTCCTAGACATAATACGAAGTACGAAGTAATTGTGACTTTACGGGGGTATTGACCCTGTACTCCACTGAAGATACCCTAGAAAGTTACAATTGTCATGCCAGGGACGAAGAACTCCGTAGGTGCAAGTTGATTGGGTTATTGGGGTAACGATAACACTGTTTGAACTAGCTGAGTTGTTTTGTTTTGAAGTTGAGATTTCGTGCCGCCGGGTAGAAAGACGGCCGTTTCGCTTCACATCGAGAGGGGTCGTAGGCCTGGTATTTTCGTGATTCCGAAGAGAACGCCGTTGATTCAAGGCTCAGGCTCTCATGAGAAGTTCATGTTTTCCTTCAACGTCGGCGATGATGTCGAAAAGAGTTGAATGTGGGTCAAGAGATCGTGATGAGATTCTCGTCACGAGATGGAAGGGAAAAGGTAATCGATTACCCATAACACAGCAGGCGAGGCGCCAAAGACCAAGAGAGAAACAATCGTGACTGGCCTCGTCAGCAAAGCAAACTTCTATCGGTACTTAGAACACGGCTTCTGTATCTAGATTCGAGAGCCGCGTCCGTCTGGGCTGTTCTTGTATCCGTTGATTTACTGTGGCGTTTCTTGATCCTTATCATATCTGAGAACAGACGTGAAAGACTGTGCGGACGGGATCGATCCAGCGGGCGTGGATCGTGCGTGACGTGACATTGACAAGTGACAGCGGCTTGCACTTGCACTTAGGGTAGGGATTGGGATGCCACGAAGGAGCCTTGCTTGTCCATGCCTTCTATGCAGGTGGATTGCGCCTTTTTCCGGTCCTGAATTGGCCCCAATTTCCTCCTCCTCGTCCTCTTACTTCCCACGGAGCCGCCTTCTTTCAGTGACGGTGAGGGGTTGTTGAAGCTTGACTTTGTAACCCTCCGAATCGCGGGGCATCCCACTACACCAGCTTCAATAATGCGGGTGATGGGTCGGTGCGGTCGACCCGAAGGTGGCTGACAACCCGAGACTTGGGAAGGAGGAGACGGCCCCCATCTGTGCTTGAATAGCGAAAATAGAGAACGACAGATGATCTCTCACTTTCGAGAATTAACCTTAAGTCCTCCTTCCACGTCAAGAACCGGCAATTCAGCAAAAGATGGGGTGATGGGCGAGATCTTGCGCTTTTTGCCATGCTTGTACTCGCGTACTCGTACATGTCAGCATGTTAGACTACACTTGGGGAGAGGAACGACTCAGATGCGACAGTAAGTGTATGGAACTCATACTTTTCCTTGTATATACTATTTGTACCTGATGATTCCTTCCTCTGTCATACATACCGTTATTCTTTTCACGACGTCGTATTTTGTAAAAAAGAAATCAAGGAAGTGTTACTGTCAAGGATACCGTGGGTTCATGTTAACGAAATGTATCCTTATTCCCGCAGGACTGCAGGTGAGGGTTACAGACTGCAAAGTTGGTCTCGGGCCTGGTTTTTCTTTTCTAAACAGATTTTGCTTCATAGTCCAGGGAGCCTAGAGTTACTGATATTGAGTCAATATATCCTCAATCTGGCAGTTGTTGCCCAAGTTTTGTTTTGATCAGGGGTACAAGGCCACCAGGAGTGACCTAGCCGCCCTAGTAATCTTACAAGAATTTGACATCATACCTGCGCAATTATGGAGTTGTGTGTGAGGAGCTATACAGAATGTGGCGGCACGTGTATTGACCACTATTCTTAGCTTATTTGCAGAACGGACGTCCTAAAAGTGCAATCAATTGACGGACCGATAAAACCAATCGCAAACCCAGTAGATTCAATTGCTAATTAAGATCCCAGATCCCACCTATAACAGCAATCAGGTAAATTAAAGGTACCATGTAGTAAGCTACCGTAGCGGAATCATCTTTCTTCGAATTTATATCTTGAACCTAGCGAGCCTAGATGATGTTTTATAATTCTATAATCTTCAATATAAAGTTATTTTATTCATTTAACCCCCTTAAACTCTTAATTATATAGCTGAATAGAATTACTTGTTACTAATAAATTATTTGGAAACCAATAGTTCCACGATAAAAAAATAAGAATTCTTTACAATGAATCTTCTATCGAACCTTAAAACCTAAGAATAATCCTTATAGCGAGAATATCCTTTAGCTCCACTTGTAAGAATCAGGACCGAGGAAGGTAAGAATATAATCTAGGATACCCTTATAGTAGGTAGTCTACTATAGTAAAGAGTTTCTACTATAGCTCTATGATAGTTGCTAGATTCGGACGGCACAACTCTCTACCGCTAGGGGCCTACAGAGCAAGTTCCTTCTTCAGAGTGAGATAAGTTTCTTGAAATCCAGTATTTCCTTGTCTATTAATAAGGCGTGATCTGGCCAGTTCTGCGCCGTCTCGCAACACTTCATCCTTTGGTGGGTTTCGGACCGACATTATTTCTGCTTTCAGATTCCTGCAGCATAGCGTTGCAGTAGAAGCCTGCATCGAACCCGAAAGAAGGAAAATAGTGCTCATCAATAATCACCAGGTCGTGGATTTAGTCCTGATTGATACCCAAGATCAATGCCAAGGTAAACTTGGAGTTTTTCACCAAAGCGACGTTCCAGACACTCGGGTTGGTCCCTGAACCGCCAAAAGGCTTCTCCAATCACTACTACTGCCCAGAAATGACAAATGGTAGCTCGGTAATTCCACTCACTTTAAGTTACTTTCCGTCCATGGCTTGACCTTAGTGGTACAGTTTTCTACAGGCCTTGAAAGCCTCCTGCAGGCCGCCGTAAAACAGGCCTTTCTCGAAGCGTGGGACGACGACCTTCGTCAATACTACTGACAGCTTCGTACAACACACTTGACATGATATGATGATTGCAGATATCAGATACTGACATTGCAGCAGACCAGCCAGGGGAGAACAGCGTGAAAGTCGGCGAGGTGATATGCGAGCTGCACTTCCAAATTGGAGTCCTGTCAATATGAAGTGGCGATCTATTCCTCCAATTCATGGTTGATGCTTCTGAGCTGATTTATTAAAGGAGATGACTGTTTCTCCATTTTGGGCGATTATTGCTGAACACGATCACTCAAAGAGAATTGCAATAATAATAGGCCAGGGGTTGAGCGGCTGGCGCAAAAACGTCATCTCGGAACCTTCAATCGGGAATCCTTCAGATTGGTGAGGTTGCAACATCTGTCTCTCTTTGAGACGCAGGTACGCCAATTGTCAAGAAGAGGCTACCCCCATTTCCGGCTAGCTGGGACGGGGAATGATCTACAAAACAACCTTTTATGGAAGTTTTCAAGAAAGTCAAAAGGTCGAGAGTTGAGAGTCAACAAGACACGTAGAACGAGAAATACGAATGTTGGGGATGCAAGTTACCCGGCGTCTCTCAGTAGTTCATCGACCCTCATGCGCTCCGCCGCTCCTACGGCCAAAAGCGCGCTATATCTCGAGAGTGAGCGAGGCAAGGAGCACGAATGTGCCCCCAACCGACATCTCAGGCGCTCGCACTCAATTCAACCGGCTACAAAGTCTCTGCCTGCTATCGCTCAAATTCAATATCGAATGGCGTTGGTGTTGGTAATGTTTGGATTAGTGTCGACTTGGCTGCCAGCCGTCTTCTTGATTTCTGGAGTCTCGCTTTGCGCCACGGGCCACTTCGAAGACACGCATCGAAGCCTTTTGGTGATGAGGTGGCTGGCCTTATGGACATTTCGCGACTGGCGATCGAAAGAAGGCAAGCTCCTTAGAAAACGACGTTTTGACAAAGTTCTAGGATGGGGTCTTGGGGTGGTTTGTACAAGTACGAAGGACCTTCGTAAAGATGGAGGAAGTGGGACTTCGTGGGTAAGCGTGGGTACGGCACTTGCCGCTTCGGGCAGTTTGGAAGAGGCCTTCTTTTCCATTGGAGCACGACCATTGACCAACGATTCGACGGACCAAGGCCATCTCCCCCCCGCTCACGACGGACAGAAGAGTAGTTCTTCAAAAATGGTCAACAACTCTTGTCCATCAACTCTTGTTGTTTGGAATTCCGAGAGCATTCAGGTAAAGGCTTGAAAAGTCTTAACCGAGATCTTTTCAAACTTCAGCTCTTCTAGTTGATCAGTTTCAGGTTGATACAAGAAACGTCTACTGCAGCTCTTCTTGAGCCAAGAACCTTGACTTCGCTTAAATTTGGCGTTTGAACTTTTCCCCACCAGAAAACCATCATGTGATCTGGTACTCCTAGCTACTTCTATCATATTGATCTCAAGCCTCACTCCCAGTGATAGCTGTTTCTGATTCCGATTTGGATAGATTCGGGTAAACAAATTTACCAGGGAAATGCTCAGAAAGCATTCAGAAACCGCGAAAGTAGCGGAATTTCATGGTTCGGGTCCCAACCCAGACACACTCTGAACACCCCCATTCCTTTTCCAGGGGTCCTAGTCATCAAATCCGCACATCTTCGTTTCCTCTTCCCCTCTTCCTTGCGGCTCGGGTTCACTGGGGCATCCAGACAGGCCCACCAGCGGGCAGCTCTTCCCCTTTGGGCCTTCAATCGTCGCTCTCCCAGGACGCTAGCCGTTCGGTCCCTGGTTCCCCGGGGACAAATGGGTGCAAGCTGCGCCCATCATGATGGATCCCCAATCCTGGGTTGACAGGTAGGGCACAGTTCAAAAAGGTATCAGTGCTATGATGCTTGCTGGCTGCCAATGCTGGCCTCGCTGGCCTAGAAATGCCTTTTGATGGGCCGTCTCGCTGATAAAAGTTCAAACTTCAAGAGAAGTAATATATTTTATATAGTTATTACGAATCCTGTACCTACCTTTCGGTACCAGGAGCCAGGACTCGTCAACGAGTCGCATCTCCAGACACACATCCAATCTTACCTGTCAGCTCTTCTCCAAGGCTGCCTTCTTGCATGCTTGACAACAGCAACACCACAACCAACCAGGAATCAGGTCCACGCTTCCGTCGTTACATGACAGACGGGTGTTTCCTTTCCGTGTCTGCAACCGGGCCTCGCTAAAATATCACCATCCCATCGGAACGTTGAGAGAGATTCATCATCATCAAGAAGCACCCTTTCACCCAGGTCCTCACGTCACAGTATGTAACTCCGATCTCGCCGGGTCCTGCTATCTGTCGTCTTCTTGTGATCTGGTGCTCAGATTGTTGTTGAGCTTGTTCCCCATAACGAACCTGGTCTATATCACGGAGAAACTTTTCTGGGCCCGGATTCATGAGTTTAGTCCGACCTTTTATATGCCAGGTACTGATCCGAATTTCTTCAGCCGAGACTTGTTTTGGTCTGAGAGTTTGTGCCGACCTCCACCTTTGCTTCAATTGCCGGATTTTTCCAAAGAAAGGGTGCCGAAGCCATTCCTCTAGCGAACAACACCCTTCAAATCCGACAGATACAAAGGCATCTCGTGGCTGCGGCGTGTGAGATCAGCCTATCGACGCGTTAGTCCCATACGCGATAGTCAGCACTGCAGCAACAGTTTTCCCGCATTTTTAATATATGTACTGTTGGGATTCCCCTGCGGGCCGCATAAAGACTTAAAAATATATCCCCACCTCCACCCACCACAACCCAGTTGGCGTGTACGGAATACAGTCAGGACTCCCAACAACGACAATGTTTAGCTTCAGCACCACAGGGAAGGCAGCGTATCCTTCTGTTTACAAGGTCAGTTCGACGAAGAAACAAAACAGGAAAGGCAGCCAGGACCTTGCTCTGGCGGTACCTAATACTGAACAATGCTCGTCATCTGATTCTCTCGAACCCGCGATTGATGGGCCACCTTCTCCTGAACGGATACGAGCATACACTGAGCAGATGAGGAGGAGTTCTATTTTCGGCAATAACTCTAGATCCGACACCATCTCCTCATCCTCAGCTTCTTCGTCTTTTCGGTCCCGCGATTCGACTTATCCATCGACAGAGAGCGTAAACATATCTCGAAGATCATCCACTCGTTCCAACAGCAATATGCCAATTTCGCGGTCAGAGAGACACGACAGCACTCAGATATTTGGGTCAATTTTCTCCAGGAGCGGAAGGAAGTCAAGGAGGGAGAATTCTGTCAGCTCGCTCGGCGGAAAAGAGGATATATTTGGAGGAAATCCGGCGACAGAACGTCACTATGGCCACAAACCAAAGTCTAGTGGCTCACACGCTATCGGTCTTGCTTCAAAAAAGCGACAGCCCATTTCTGGACCATACAATTTCCAACACGTCACTCATACATGTCAAGAGCATCTGCCAAACTTGGAACAAACCAGCCCTAGGGAACTTGTATCGGAGTTTTCTGCAATCAAATTGTCGCAAGCTCCCACACGTGGGGAACTCAAGGGTATCCGGGCAGAAGATCTGCATTTTCGAAATTTTTCATCGGAATCTTTAAATATGCCTCCTGTAGATGATCGGTTTGTTGTCCAACTCAGGCAGAAGGGAATCTTACGAAAGTCACTACGGCCTACACGTACTCCAAGACCAATCTCGTACGCAAAGTCGCATGAGAACATGAGAGTGGCACCTCCACGCCCTCCTCGGTCTCCCCTCGAACCTCCGTACCCAATGGAGCTCCCCCCAAGAGTTTCCTCCCGCAGGTCTTCTGTTCTTTTTGATACCTTTGATCCGTCGTTGTTGACGACTAATGAGCGCTTCAGAAAATCAGCACCTGGTAATATTCAAATGGCATCGCGGGAGTCTCTACCTGCTGAAGAGGACCAATCGCAGTCACATGCGATCACCACTCCAGGAGACGAAGCTTGGCCTGTGACCGCAGCTATCTCCGGGTCTTTCTCTACCGAGCTCCCCAATGTTGAAGAGGAGGAGGAAGCTGGTTCGCGGAAGTCTAGGACCAGCTCCGAATTGAGAGCGTGTAGATCAGTACCATCTTTCCGAACTAGAGCCCCGGAGCACATGTATGAACCGTTTGAATGTCGCATGTCAGCAATACTCGGGCAAATGACGTTGAGGGACGGCGGCCCAGTATCTCCAGGTTTCCACTTTGAAAATGATTCTTGGGAGCAGGATATTGACTATGCTTACGATCATGAAATGGAAGCCCATTGTGATTACCAGTGGGATCAATACTCCATGGGAGAGAAAACTGTCACCGCAGAAAAACCATCTATTTCTTCACAAGACCAATGGGATATGGATGACCAATCTCCTCGTCAGCCAAATCGTCAGCCAAACCGCCAGCTACTGCCAACACTCGAATTACATTTGGAAGACGATCAAACAGTTTATGAAGGAAGATTTCGTCCATCTCTACTCATTCCGTCACCCTTTGATGTTCCGGAGTTATCACCAATGTCAAATATATCAGCTGTCTCTCCAGAGCTGCGTACACCACAGACGTTCACAGGCTTTACTCGACCTAGTGTCAAGCGATCATCGTCTCGAGCTTCTTCCTTCAAGGAGTCGCATGGATTTAACTTGTCGCCCTCGCTCCTGATCCCAGCTGACTTCCAGAAGGAGATGGATGCAGCGGTAGAAGATTATCACCACCACTTGGGTAAAGACAGTTCCACATCAGCAATCATTGTTGAGCAAACTCCCTACAACAACTCAGTTGATGAGAGTAATTCCAGTTTCCGTTCTTATCGGCCGTCAGACTTCTCCCGGGGCTCAGCACGCAGCTCTTCGCACTCGCGTCTCTCTTCCAATTCTCGGTTGAGTCGTGATACCCATCAAAGCGTTGACTCGTCATCCTCGCTCCCTGATCTGATTCCATCGAGCTTCCGCAAGCACGAGAGTGTACCGGAGAATAGTGGAATTAAAGACGATGCGACTACCCCACAGGCTGATTCCTATCTCGAGCTCACCTCTCAAAAAAGTGCGAGTGAATCGCCATCTTTGAGCACCACTCCTCTCAATATCAGTCTACCTGAGGACAAAACCTGCCTTAGTCCCGTTGAGGAATTGCAGGAAGAGCAAATCAACCGACAAGTTCACGGAAGAAAGGTGTCCGCACCAGTCACTTCTCAGACTGTCAGAGAATTTACTAGTCGGCCAAGAGCCGGAACAGCAAGCAATGTTCTTGGAAACAAGAAAGCTAGGGCCAGCTACATGTTGTTTCCTTCATCATGAAGAGGTTGGCCCGCTTGCAACTTTTTGACGAATTATGGACTGGAGAGCGCTGGCTGTTTGAGCAGGTCTCCTGGTACTATGTGATACGATACTACGATTTCCTCGTTTCTTTCCTTGCAATTCTATTCTATGTGCTCTTTATTTTGTCTATTGTATTTTTTCTTTTTTGATTTATTGTATATGTGGAAATATCGACATATGGCAAACATCCAGTTATTAGCCCCGCTACATGAACCTGGTCGGGCTGTACACACCTCATCTCTTTTGTCTTTTTCAGTATTCCCGCAAGCTGATTAGCGTTTTAATTTCTTTCTGCGCAGTTGCATCCATCTTTTCGGTGCAGTGGCTTGATTTTTTGGCGGTTTAAGACTTGGTTTAAGCAGCGTTTGCTTACTTTTTTGTCCTTCCGTTTATTGTTTCTTGATTTGTTTTGGAGAGGTGTTATTGGGGCTGGACCTGGGAGATTTCCCCCCGATGAAATTCTTTTTCTTCTTCTTGGTGGAAATAAAAGATGGGTTGGTTGCATGGGCACGGATGTCAAACTTGGCAATTGGATTTCTTTTTTCTATAGAGGGATTTTCTTTTGTTGGTCTTGGTTACTGGTCGGGGGTTTTACTTTGGGTGTGGGGTACATTGATGAGTCTATGACCAGATCTTTGGGGGGGAGGCAGCGGGCTCGGGTGGATGGAGGGAATGAAGGTAGGTGGGATGAGAGGATATATATGGTGGGAACTGTATCAACTTGTATCAAGTAAAGGTGTGTGGTGTTGGCCAAACTTGAAGTTGTGGGTGTATTTGGTTGTGTGGTGGATGTAATTCACCTACTTTTGTCGATATTAGGGTCCTAGACCTTCTTTACTTGAGATATCAAATACGTACATAAGTTTGTAAACATCGGCTTTTGACTCATGTTCATTCCCAGGATAAGTTTCATGCGTAATTCTTACTGTTTCGTACAATCAAAGAATCTCTGGTCAAAATGTACCTCCAGGCACCAAGACTCAAATTCTAGGAGTCACTAGATTTTCATTTATCGCATATCCTCCATAAACTGAGCAAGCTCTTCTCTAAACGCCATCTTCACCTCATGCTTTGCCCAACATATATCAATCGCATTCACCATCAGCCTCTCAAACTCCTCGTTCGTAAACCCTGCTTTTGAACGAATCAACTTCAGATTATCATCCAGCCAAAGGCTCTCCACATAAACCGGACTGTCACTACTGATCATGATCTTCACGTCCTCTGCAAATAGCTTTCTTAGACACCCGAAGATATCTTCCTCTGTGTGATGTCGAACATATGCCCAAGGACATAGCGTCATCCCGATTCCTTTTTCTTTGATAATCTGGATCAAAGAAGGGTCCGAGGCAGCATCAAGACCGTGGTCGATGCGTTCTGCTCCTGTGCCACCAAGAGAAGTAGCTACTTGGTAGATATGAGAGTGAGTTGCTGGTTGAGCCACGTCGCAGTGACAAGTTAGTTTAAAGCCATCATTTCTTGCTCTTTGAAAAAGGTCGTAGAAAAAAGAGGGTGGATGGTTAAATTCGTTGGAATCGAGGCCTATTCCTACTATCATATCCTTATATGGCAAGAGGAGTTCGTAATGCTCCGTTGCTGATTCTTGAGGAAGGTTGCGGAGGAAACAAGCGATCCACTGGGATTTGACCTTTGGGAAATCTTTAGATATGAAGAATGAAGAGATGGAGTAGGGAAGTGAAGAGACAAACATTTAGTTCTTTCCCGGCTTTCACTTGTGCTAGTCGAAATCCATCCATCACTGTGGAAACGCTCACTCCTCTCCTAGTATGCGCCTGTATATCAAACAAAATCTCACAATACTTTACGTTCATCTCTCTCGTCTTGGAAAAGTAGCCCATCGCCAACTCAAAGAAATCACTTTCCTCCAATAAGACTTCCATGGACCCGTAATAGGCTTCGAGAAAGGCTGAGATGCCGGTTCCTTTGCTACCTGGAGGTTCTAGAAGTTGATACGTTTCTTCTAACTCTGATAGAGTACTGAAGTCATTTTGAAGACGCTGGGAGTGAAGAGGGAGAAGTTTCTGGCGAAGCTAGCTTGAAGCGGAGGGACGGAGTGAGAGTCCCTTCTATGTGGATGTGTAGCTCGATTTTGGGGAGTTGGGATATGAAAGGGTCGTCAAGAGTATGGACTTGCTGCTTCCACTCTCGGAGAAGAGAGTACGGAATTGGCGGTGCCATTGTCAGATGGATTTAGATCGGCGACTTTGGGCGAGGAATCTGTGTTGGAGTGAGATGATTCTCGAGTTTTCTGACGCCAACACTGATGCGTGATTGTCATTGGTGGGATGTAGTTGGAGGATTGCTATCAGAAAATTCTCAAGTAACCCTCGTTGTAATAGCTAGAGTTGACGCCTGTATCCATTCATCAATCATGGTTAAAAAAAAGCCTACAAATGCGAAACATAAATGAATTGAATTTAGAGGAAAGAGGGAATGTCAGGTGACCTGGTATATAAAACCGTAAAGAAAAAAAATAGGAGTAAGCTTACCGTGCTTACCTAAGGAGGTAAGCTATACGATAAGCATAAACTCCGGCTAAACACGGACCGTACCCATCTCACATCCCTGTGAAACTCACACGGACACTACATGGCGGGTCCGGTATTGTAGATGGCCCCCACCATGTGTGGAGAGCTGCGCCTGGTAAATACCCAGAAGATTCAACAAATACGTGAAATCCTATCTATCCTTAGGGGTAAGGAAAGGGGCACATTGAGTGTGTAACTCTGTGCATCTGAGATGTCTTCTCATGGCCATCCCGAAATCGAAATCGGAAACTCGTCAGTCACGACATGAATGATGGTGTCTGCCGAATCGCGACCTATAGAGTTCGCACCTTTGCGCGGACTTGACGCTGATGATGCGGAAGATGCCTTTCTTAGAGGCGACATAGAAGAGGCCAGGTTAAGGTCAAGATCATTGACAACCAAGGAAAAAGAATATTCTTCCAGGGCAGTGTATGTTTGCAGATCAGTTGGGATCTCATTCGGATGGAAACTCTGACGACAATAGACGTTGGTCCATTGCTTCCTCGATCGCCATCTACTCAACCAAACAACTGATGATCAACCATGGCTTTCGTAAGACATCACACTCTTGACAGAGAATGCAGCTAATATAAACTCTAGATTACCGTATGTGTAGTTTTACCCCTCCTCCGCGGCCGATCTGACAAAGTTGTAGCTCTCGCGATCGCTTTTCGAGCTTTTGTCGCATTGTCGATTGTCTACGTATTGGCTCTGAAATTCGGCTCAGAATCCACCGCATCAAATCCCAACAACATATCTCAATGGGGAATACAAAAACCAGGTGGCGCAGGGGCTCTCATGTTCAACAAACATTGTATTAGAATGATACCTGCTGCATTGACTGCTGCAGCGTCAGTCCCAATGTTGATGGAAGGTATTTTACATATGCCGAGCCTTCCGGTTCTGGTAATGGTATTTGTGAGTTGCGTCTTACGAAATGGAATTCAATATAATATCGAAGAAGTCCATGTTAATTTCTTCTAGCCAGTGGTATATGCTGCAGAAACTCTTGTTCTGTGTATATTGTGTTCGCAATCTCCTTCCAAGAGACGCTTCCCATGGGAAGCGATACTTATATTCGCAGCTTCTAGTCTTGTTTTATATAATGAATACCGTCTCATGGTTCCTGGCCTTCTCTGGGGTCTCCTTGGTCTCCTTTTTACTGGACTCTCCCGAGCATTCCATGCTTTTGGATTCGAGAAAGTCGGCCCTGATATTGCAGTCCAAGCGAAACTTAAAGCCAACCACGGTTTCGTGGCCATGACATTGTCATTTGGGATAGTATTCAGTGGTGCTGCTGGTATTTTCTTCGAACATATCGAAACAATTTACAGCACTTCGAATTCAACAATTCTACTGATGGTCGTAAACACGGTCTCCATCGTTTTGACGTGTTTATTAGGGGCAAGTTTTATGGCCTACTCTCCAATCTCATTTGCGGAACCCAAGATCCAATTTTCAAATATACCACTTCAAGGTACTGAGCTTCTTGCAGCATTTTCTTCCAGCATGACTGTTCTGCTGGCAGCCGTAATATCCAACCCAGTACCAGTCGTGTGCTGGATTCAACTCAATGCATATTTGGTATCGTGTGCAGCCCTCATTGGAATAGATCAAATCCATAACTCAGTCCTTCAGTTGAGAGAAATCACCAAGACCAAGACCCATGAAAATAAAACACCTAGCAAGATATTCTCAGGGGTAGCCCTTTTTGGCGCAATCGTGTCCACAGCTACCGCCATAGTATTCTTGTCAACTTCATCCATCAGTTCAGTCCATCAAGGGTTCCCCGTCTCTCTAGATCTCTCATACAACCCCACTTCACGCTTCGATATCGTCGTTAGTATGTATGAAGAGGATCCCTTGTTGGTCAAGCAAACACTTGATACAATCAAAACCACCGCGATGCTCAGAAAAATCAAACCAACAATCATTGTATACACCAAAAGTCCCGGTGCCGACCTAAAAGTGTTGAAGGAAAACACTGGTGCTGACGTCGTGGAAAGGATGGAAAATCTAGGTCGAGAAGGAGGGACCTACCTCAAGCATATTGTTGACAAATGGGATAAGTTGGCAGATCAGACCATGTTCATTCAAGCCCATGCCCACAACATGCGTGAACTCATTCCTAGAATCAACGACTACCTCGTTCCTGAGACCGGGATGTTGAGCTTGGGCTTCACCGGTGTGCAATGCGAGTGCGGTGCTTGCGGGGATCGCTGGGGATGGGAAGATAAATTCAACTCTATTCCGCAACTCTTCCAGAAAATTTACAAGCAGCCTTGTAAGCCGGAACAACCAATACTCTTGGCTTACAAAGGTCAGTTCATAGCTAGCGCAAAGAGAATCCGAGGGATTGATAGGAATATATATGGGGGGCTGTTGACGGCTATCAACAGCAAGGATGGATGGAGTCATAATGAGGCGATTGTCGGAGACAATGTTGACAGACCCGATAATCCGTATTTCGGATTCACGGTTGAGAGGGTTTGGGGATTGCTGTTGCAGTGTGGTACTGATGAGAGTGTTGCAGCCAAATGCCCCAGTTTGCTGAGCGGAATGGGACAAGGAGGACAGCCGGAAGATTGCCAGTGTTTGGATCGTTGAGGAGCGCTTTACTAATCGATATGAATATGACTATACTGGAATAGTCATGCGGGTAACGGAACGGAGTTTATGGATGGAAAGGATGGGAAGGATGGCGTAGTGGTGTTGGGATTTTGGCTGGGCATTGTTTTTCATTACGACATTTTAATTATTTGTGGCTGGGAGAACCGGAACTCTTAGAGGTGGAGGTTTAAATAGATGGGTTGTTCTGCACTTGGGGCACGGAATAGATCCCTTGTATGTCCTTTTATTCAGAAATCAATGGATGCTTTCGCGGCTGTGGCTCAGTTTCTCATGCAAGGTCTAAGCAATATCACATTGAGGCAAATCTAATGTTACATCGTGGGTATTAGTCTGTGTTCAAAACCTGTATACAATTATTGTTGCAGGTCACTACCTTTGAGCTCTTACTCAACGAACAATGAAATACCTCCGTAACAAAAAAGACTCTCATAGATCGAGCGTATCCTACCCCCCTGGATAGTTCGGGGGGTTTCCCGGTAGATCAAGGACGTGCACGATTTTTTCGCTGTAAATCTTTGGTGTACGGAGATTTAAAGTGCCAAATCCTTGTCAGAAGATCCCGGAACTATCCAGAAGATAGATATCAGAGTGAGCAATCAGTGAAGCGGTCAATGGGAATAGTGGGCTGTGAATATGAGCATAGAAGAGAACACAACAGTTTATGGAAGGGACTCTTGGCTTAGAATAATTGTAGAGATGTCAAAGTAGGCTCAGATAAGAAGGACTTCAATCAACAAAACAATAGGGTAGTGGTGAAACTGCTTGTACAGTGCAATCGGTAATACCGTGGTACTAATCACAGTGTCCACCTTCCCTCTGTAATTTCTCACTCACCTAGCTCTCTCAACCATCAACCTTCAAAAGAAACGACCCTGGCAAATTGAAGCATAGAATATATATAAAAACAGCCAAAAAAGAACATCTTACCCATCACTGGGGTACTATAACACTATCGACGCCTAAGAGATTCGAACTCTTGCTCCCGAAGGAAATGCCTGGCTTTGTCATAGACAGTAGCAGGGCATCGCGTTAACCACTCCGCCAAAGCGCCTTGATTGTTGCTGGTTGGATGCACAAAGAGGGGCTATTTGTAAATATGTAGTGATAACGTGGTTTTGGTGGACTGCTCAGCTCGGCTATGTGGGGTGGGCCAGTGTCATGTGGGGTATTATGGTGGGAAAGGCGGAGTTTAACCGGTAGTGTGATGTGCTTCTTCTTCACTGCTGTACTTGTATATTCAATAGACAAGGAGTTGAGGGATTCTGTTCGTTGGTATTATGTTTGTTTTCCTTCCCTTCAAACTGCCTTCGTGCTAGTTTTGAAAAGAGTAACGAAGCACCATTCTTTATCTTATGATATTTGGCTGCTCCAGTGAGGTGAATAAGGACTCAAATGCATTCGATCAATACTTTTGCAATTAGTGCGATGGAAGTATGTTATATTCTCAAGCTCAGGTTCTTCCTGTGTAAGTATTCCGCCAAATAATTGCCCTAGGGTAGAAAATGTTACTCCGTACAAAAAGTAAACCTTTGAGCAGGAATATTTAAGAAGTCATCCAAAGAGAAAATATTGGGGACAGCCTCTTGAATTAAAGCGCTGCTCTTGTATGCGTATCGAGAATATATCCAAGATTCCCAATAGTTTCTGTAAAATCGTGTTTCAGAGTTGGTTTTATCTCCCGGCAATGTTCTAGTATAATGAAAAAAATAAAATTTTCATTCGCTATCTGGCAAACCACCAACGATATTGCAGTCTATTGGTAAAATCAAACTTGCCTGGTCCTTCTTAGTCGTATATATTATGGCAGTTGGCAGAAATGAAATGCCATTCTTGTGAGCTTCGTTTGTTTTGTTAGTACTTCCAGTAGTAACCAAAAGACATGATTTAGTAACGTTTCTGTCAGTGTCAGTGGGGCACATAAATCAGAAAAGAGTCGTTAATCAGCCAGGTATTGTTTTGGGTAAGCAAACTACAGTAGTACACCTCCTCAACAACCATATGTCTAACCAAAAACATTCTTCCATAGAAAAAATACTTCGCGTGACCTAAAGCATTCGTGGAAACAACGTGCATCAGGAACAGCCATATATTCTTTCGGTATTCGGGGTTCTACTTTTGATGGCCGATCTCCTCAAGGCGATGTTACAGTGACGGGAGCTTGCTGCTGTAGAGGCCTTCTTTAGCTCCTGTCAGTTGATCAGAAGAAAAATTTTATTTAACGATATTTTTCCTGGAACGAGCTACTTGGGTACAGCAATTTGAAAGGTAGAATCTTGTCTTTCTCTCCAAAAGTTGAGAATGAGGAGGTAGTTGCATATCTTCTAAGATACCGCTCTTCTTCAGTGAAATATTCACCTTTCATTGATTCTATCGCTAAGAAGCAGCTAGACTATGATGAATGTTTCAAGTCGTCTGGAACAGCTAGGGAGATATCAAAGGCTATCAGAAATCGTTCGTTTTCTTTTCTCTTGCCCTAGTTCCCCCAGAATTTTCAGAGACTGAAATCTGTAAAATTTATTCTTTGCCACTTCACATTCAATTTTCAAACTCTATATAAGTTTCATAGTTCTGTTTGTTGTGTAGATCAAACTAGCCAATGGGAAGACTCTTGGTTCTTGGAGGGGTTGGGTAAACAAGGGGATTCCCCCACTTTTGTATTTGTTCCGACCCAAAGGAAACTTGCGGAATCATATTACGGCTCAGTGCATATCTTCTACTCAGATGCGTTCCATCATTTTCAAGCTGTGAAGGCTAACTTCGAATCTAAAATCATTTGGAAAAAGCTTGCATCATCTAGGGATAATCTATCCTGGCTAATGTATACTTTTGCTTGCTCGCTGTAGCTTTTCTACGTTGTCTTGTCCGTAAGAATGACCACCACTTATTGGTTCTCTCTCCATGTATAGGAGAAACCGAAGCAAAGCTCAACTTACATTCAATCTTGAAAACTGAAAGCAAATTTAGGTATTTGCGGGGAGATACCGTTGAGCTTCAATAGCACCTCTGGATCTCTAGAAAATCATCTCATCGTGACTTTCATTCTGCCAATACCCAGAGGACTGAGAGCACGCCTCGTCTTTGAAGAACAATGCCCAGGAAATTTATGTCTGCGTTGTCTGGAATCACAACTGAGAAAGTCTTCTACCTTATCGGAACTTACCATTCGCTACTGAATACTCACATTCGACAATGCCACCCACACTTATCGATACCCGTAGGCTATCTGGGAAACGTGAGTAAACCTCTCCAATGTTTTGACAGCTGCTTGTTCCTGTCTTGGAAATGCTTGGTTGGTCGAGCACAAACCCCACAAAAGCTCTTGGTGTGCCCTCTGTGACCTTGAGGCTTGAGGTCATGTTTTGAAATTTTGACAGCAGTGGGATGTGCGCTACTTATTTGTATACGTTTACTTATTTTTATTGGAGTGTTGTGTCTCGTAGTTATGACGATAACTGAAGGGAAATACTGACAATTCTTTAGTGCAGATAAGCTGTCCGATGGTTGAACCGAAGGACTTTACGCATGACCTACACACCGGTTGAAAAACAGGCCTGTAAATCATTCAACTCAGAGTTCGCATGTTGACTTTTGCTTCTACGAGGTAAAAGGTATGGTCGTGAGGCTCGAACTGGCAACATTTCTGTAGGCTCGCTTGCTGAATGACCCCTGCAATTACCCTCACATAGATCCTACTTCAAAGGAGCTCTACAAAAGCTTGAGATTGGTTGATTCTACTTCGTACGAACTACTTTACTCGAATCTAGCTTGGCGGAAATTACCGCTCAGCTTATCCGATAAAGTGACGTTCACGTCAAAAGCCTTGGCTGCGGTCTCATGTTGTTTTGTAAATTGTCCTGCCAAAGTTTCCGAGGAAAGCACGACCCTGCTTTGGGATTATAGGTTGCTTTTTGCTGAGTTATTGGACAAGACTTACGACAAGGGGCTGTATTTTCGAGGTCAGACCACTAGCGTTAACATACAGGAGAAACTCTTTACTAGGATAAATGATATAAGGATATCCTGGGTCATGACCGCCCGAGCATATCCTTGTAACGCGTTTGATCTGTAACGCAAGAGGAGCGAGTACCAATAACTTTAAATCAAGATCTATCCCCTTCTTTGCCCTCGCAAGCCATAAATACATTCTCTCTAATATCACTTTTTAACACCCTTCTGTCTACCATCATTTTTCCATCCCGCCCTAATGACTCAATCTAAATCGCAAATATGAAATTCATTTCCATCGCCACCCTAGCATTCGCTACCGTAGCAGTTGCGTTCCCAGCAATCGGGGGCGGCGAACTTGCGCGTCGTGGATGCACATGCATCGAGTCTACCCCGAACTCAAATGCCTTAAGTGGCACTGCTAGAAGGTTGACGAAGGCCTGAAGTCTCGCCGATTTCATGTAAGTTTTCCATATGTCCCGCTCTGTGGATATTTCTAATCATGCTACCTAGTGCGCGCAATTTTCACCAAGCGGGACTTGCCTTGACCGGAAATAAAACTGGCCAAGTTTGTCGAAAGATCTGGGTTGAACACTGGCTGTTAATCTTGAGATATGAAGGAATGAGGAAATTGGGCACGACTGCTTTGTTTAGACTATGCTCTTACAAATATAATATTTCCTGTTTGGTCAATGCTAATGAAAGTTGATCAGTTCTCATAAAACATAATTGCCATGCTATTATTTGATCAGAGATTACTACTGACTTTCTTGCGAGCTTTGAAAAACTAAGAGTCGGATTTTATTTCTTGTATGCCCTTTGCAAATAGATAAAGTAATTACTGTAAGGCATGACGCTACTCAAAATCTCTATACCGGGAAAACGAAGCTATTCCCAAATATTATCCGGCGTTCAGCTTACGGTACCAACTCACGCTCCACCACGCCACCACGCCCTTGCCCTTATTGTTTTGTTTTACTGCCTATAACTAGTTCTGCCCAAACTAGGAAGTGCAAGGAATATAGTTCTTTATATAAGTGGGTAAGTGGCGGTGTTTGTCACCCTCATTCTACACCCACCACCCCACTCGTTCCATATCCCACTGAGCCACAACAACTGGAAAGAATTGACAAGTTTGCCACTACCAGATGCTAAGAGTCAAGTCAAAAGGAAAGATCTTGGGCAGGTCGAGATTAAATTCAAGATACGGAAGAAATCTTACAAGAGCACAGAATACCCAAAGAAAAGCGAAATGGATATAATCACATCTAGCATAACAAGAATTCCACCAAATTACATATTAAAAGATTCTTGATTTTCTTTGGTAAGATTTCAGCGTACGCAAAACGACTACGGTAGGCGTAAACTGTGAGGACTTTTGTACTGGTTGTCACCTATGATGTTTTGCTCCTCTACTGACTAAAAGGGTAATATGGGAGATTTGAAAAAGCGAAAGACCTACAGTGTTCGGCGCAGATTGATTGCGTCGTGGTATACTTTTCTCACTTGCAACGGGACAGTTTCCATGGTGCGTCCTTCGATCACGATTAACGCAAACGGCAACTGTCAAAGACCGTAAATTTCGTTGAGGTAGTGTTGCGTGAACCTCTAGATTACTTCCCAGACGCCTATCCTATCGTATAGAAAATCTGATTAAAGCACTCTACCATCGCCCTCAAACAGCATCCCACCATAACGCCCCAAAAACAAATACCAGAGTCTTCTCCCATGCCCATATAACTATCCCATGAGCAGTATCCAAATTCCCATGCACTTCTGAAAATCCCATTTACTCCCTCCAAAGCCACTTCTCCCACACCTCCCCCGATCTCTCCTTAGGAATCTCCTTCAAATCCGACTTCCAATCACTCGTAACCCCAAAACAATCATGTCTCTCAGGCTTCTTAACAAAAGGCTTCATCTCCAAAAACGCCACCGAATCCTTCCCCCCCGTCCTCTTCTTCGCATCACAATACTTCTTCGCCCAATACGCCGCCCGCGCACGATCCGAATGCATATTGCACACCTGAAAGACATCATAGCACAACCTCGCCAACCGATCATCCTTGAAGTCCTCCTCTTCATAAATCCGCATCAGTGCTTTGCAGTGTTGCAGCACCTTTGTGGGGTTGAAACGGACGGTTTTGGCGTCTCCGATTTGGGCATCCAGGGTTTGAGCGAGGACGTGTCGGTCATCGCTGGCTTTTTGTTCAGATGGCGGGAGGGTGCAGATACTGCAGGTGCAGTCGAAGCCGAATCGCTCTTTTAAGATTTCCTTGCGGTACTCGGACGGGCCTCCGTAGTGGTAAGCGAGAGTGATTTCTTCCCCGGCGGAAATTTGTCGGATGGCATAGACGGTGTGCTCTTCCAAAAGTGGGTTCCAGCCGTGATAGGCATTTGGTTGACATGAATGATTGATTCGACTGGTTAACTCGAAAACTCCACCGACATCACTCGATGCTCCTAAGGGATATCCATTTGAGCGGATGATATTTGTCAGAGGTGTTCCTTGACCGACATAGTTGTTGTGAAGCGAGAGGAACGCACGTTGTATTCCTTTGGATGAAGCTTTGAGGGCACGTGCGAGATCAGCTTCGGTGGTGGGGATGGATGTTATGACTGCGGTGGTGAGCAAAGGGGGCTCGCTTATGAGTAAAGTCCCCGGAGTGATGTCTTGAGCTGCGATAACTCCCTTTCCCTTGTCCGGAATGGACTCGATGGTGAAGAGACCAGGAGCCGGTTTTGGTGCTGAGAGACCGTTGTCCTCTTTCTGTGATATGTCTGCACTGGGTGCCATGATATCGATATCCAAGAGTTGAAGCAAAAGTGAGATGGTGGACTCTGAATGCAAGCTCAAGTTTTCTGGAATGAGTGGAGGGGCAGGTATAAATGGTTGGACTGATAAGATAGCCAGCAAGCGCTTTTTTTAGGTTCAGATCAAATTTTGTGTGAGGCTTTACTCGTTTTGGTTAAAAAGGCGAGGGGGAGATTCTTCGGTTAATTGGCGGAGATGTCTCCGCCGACGATGCTTGACTCAACAGGAGCTCTAATTTGCTAGAATTGCAGACTGCGCCAATCACTATAAGATAGTCATTTCTATTCTCACATCATTATCTATAGTCGAACGACGCATATCCATTTATGATTTTGAAAAGTTTTCATAGTCAAAGAGATTAGTAGTTAAAAGGTCATAAATACTACTACTGTACAAGTACAATTAAAGAGAAGCGAAGGGATAATTGTCCGTCACAAATGACATCCATTATCGTGAGTCAAATGAGTTGGAATCCCGCGAACTTGACTTGTTGGATTCTGATGTGGTATGTCTGTTCAACAATCGATCCTCTCTCTGGTCATGAAATTTCATTACAGTATGCTAGAATTTCCAACTACCCTGGCGACGAATTTAGCGACCATCGTATATCTAGTCTCATATTAGGTACGCTTAGACAAGCAACTACCCCCAACTGTGTTCGAATCCGATAACTGGGCAGGTACCAGAACTCTGGTATGCTCCATTAGTGCTGTCATAAGTAGGATAGTATTTTTTCGCTACTAAGCGACATCTGCTTAGGTGATAATTTTGCTGCCATTGATACAACTGATTATGTATCTTTGCACCGTGTTTAAGGGGAGTAATACTACATAAGCACCTGACTACAAAAGCAAAGAAGACCAACCTGAGATGCCACCACTACCTTGCTACTATAATCCCCAAACGTAATTTAATAACAAGACTGGGGACTTAGAATTATAAAAGTGAATATATCTTATTAGCATACTAGACGCGCTACATGTCTAAATGTCTACATATTCATAACAATCTCACCAAAAGGCAAGGTAGTAATTGGACCTTGTCGTATAAAAGTATTCTTGTACCGTTATCACTCTTACCTACAAAAAAACACATCCCATCCCACCCCCTCTCAACATCCAACCACAAATCCCCACCACCAACCAAAACCGATATAAAAACCGATATAAAAACCGACCCAAACTCACGTCTCCTGCTGACCGACTGACCAACCCCCACAACCCCACAACCCCCCCCCCTCCAATAGAAACCCCAACTTTCACCAGTTAATGCCGTGGAATGAATAAATAAATGGCTATTTCAAACCCAAACCCCCAACACCAAACTCTAACAGAATTCACCAGGAAAATCGGCGTGTGGTATGATTGGAACACTCGAAAAGAACCCAAAGGGGTGTCATTTACTGTCAATCCAAATCCTATCTCTTCTTTACTTATAGACAGCACCGCTAGTCATGTCAAGTAAAATCAGATGGACCATACAGTAGTAGTCGGTCCCTGCATTCTCTCCGCTGTCGGTATGATATGGAAACGTCCCATGTTCTAGCCATGATCTATCCTCGATACTGACACTGTATACCTTCACCACAAACCCAACACCTCATCTCACCATAGCGTAAGAATCACAAGTCAAAAGATCAGATTGTTTTAAAAAAGTGTTTCATTTCATTATCCATCCATCCATACCATACTCCCACACCGCATTTCTTTCTTTTCTCCATACACTTATCGAAGAAACCGCGCGATCGAAACATCCATCCACCATCCTCCATCTATCCAGCTTGCCCCCCCTCACCCCACCTCCAGCCTTCCGCCCCCCCAATCCAACAACACCGATATCATATCCATCCATCCATCCATCCCTCAATATCACTTGACTCGACTAGGAAATAAGGGGTGTCTGCCCAGATAAACACGTAAACACAAAAAAACAAAACTAAAGAGAAAAAAAAGAAAAAAAGAAAATAAGAAAAGCCAATAAGTACGCCACAGACCCTTATAAAACAATGCTGTCCCAATGAACACTTTTGCCTCTTCTGTGCCCCATGGCTACTGTCATCCACCTCGGCTCCTCTTTGTCATCCAACAGCTAAACCACGACGCAAAAACGGAGAAAAGGAGAATGTAATAGGTGTATGTAATATTAGCGCCGCCCGGGCTGGAAAGACAAGTAAGACTGCGAAAGCCAAAGAACCGTATGATTTGTGGTCGGATTAAAACAAGATTTACCGTGAAGATCGAAGAATGGAAGGTATTTGTGAGAATGCTGCTCGTCGTATGATCGTAAAAGGATGCCGACATTTCTTCATTGGATGCGAGACCTCATTAATATTGCTAAATAATCATGCTCTTCGTACGGGCATGACGTGCATCTTTTCGAGTTGTGCCATGCTCCGCTCTTCTTTTGAGAGTCTCTTCGCGCTTAAAGACGAGATCACACCAACCTCTTTTAGCACCTTCACCTTCTTTGCCAATGCATGCGTCGAGGACCTTCATCCAGCCTTCTTTATCAGCAGCAGTGTCGGCATAAAAGTCAATCATTTCGCCATTGTTGAAGCGAATTCGGAAACCCTCTTCAACAAACATGTAGCCTTCTTCCTCCTCAGCAAATCCGGACTTGCGTCGCTTCCCACCTTTACCACTTGTCTCCTTTTGTGTCAGAGCTCGACGATCATCAATCAATTTATGAGCGTTGGCGAGATTGATCGTGGCACGAGGTTGGCGCGTTGACTCATGGTATGCGGTGAGTTTGCTTCCTACAAGCTTGAAGTAGCGACGACGCCAGTACTAATGATATGTTAGTAATGGAAAGTTAAATTGCTCAGAGGGTCAACATACCGGACAATCTCCACCCTGTTGACTTAGAGGTCCTTCCCAATTTCTCGCGAGCGATGTCTCGGCTTCCTTCATCTCACGAATGCACGAATTCATGCTTTTTGGCATATCATCATCCGTTGCGCCTTTAGGTTTTGGGACAAAGAGGAGTTGCAGCTCGAGTTTCCCGACCTTGTAAGGCGCGCGCTTGCGGATGATTGTACTTGCGCGTTGGCTCTTGACGCTAGATGAGAAAGGGGCCTCCTCAGTTGCCCACTCGTTGAAGCAGGCTACATCGACAACATAAGGCCGGCCATAACAGCGAGTCTCATGGTCCTTAAGACATACATATGAACGCCCAAAGCTTCCATCCTCCGCAGCAAGAGGAGAAAGAAGGTCCCATGCAGTTGGTTGTGTAGTGGCTCGTTTAGCTTGTGCTTCACGTTGTTTCTGATCTGCGATGCGCTGCTCTTCTTCTTTTTGCCTCATTTCGAGTTCTTTGCGTTTCTTTGGTGAGGCAAATACTCGGCTGAATGTTGATGGCTTGCCAGACTTGTGTGCTTTGCTACTCTTGGTAGGGGACTCGGTCACGCGCTTTGGCGCGGGCTTGACCAATTTCGCATTGAGGGTTAATTGAAATTCAAGCTCATTTGGCACGACAAGCTCAAATTCCTGCCCGATTGGTGCGTTCTTGCCAAGTTCCAGCCATGCTGTGGTAACGCAGTGGACACCATTATCAAGGGTCAAACTGAACCAGGTTTGTTCATCTAAAAACGGTTAGTAAGAGCAGTAGATTTGGCTGTAATAATGATACATACTTTTAGGAAGAGGGAGATCGAGATCTTTTACACCAATGACCTTGACAAACAGCCTACCTCTCTCACCTGGCTCTTCACCTGCAGCGCTGAGAAGTTGCTCTTCCTCGTTCAGTATACCCAAACCTGTAGCATTACTCTCCTGGCCAGGCAAAGGTGGGACAGCAGATGATGGTCTTCTGCGAGACGATGGCCTATCCTTACCACTACCCTTACGCTGTTGCCCATTCCATGGCTCTACCGTCCAGGATTGCGGTCGATTTGCTTTCACGGGCGAGTTACCGGCCGATCGAGTACCGCTTCGTTCATCTCCCTTGTCATCGCTGCTTGCAACTACAAGTTTGGTGTTTTGCCTCATGAGGTAACCGCGCTGTTTACGAGTATTAATGTTAGCATAATATTTCGAGAATTCCAAGTTGCTTGAAGTAGACGCTTGTCCAGTAGATTCCAAAAAGCAAGGAGACGATGGGGAGGAAAGGTCATAAGCAACCTTTTGGGCTTCGATCACACGGTCAAAGTCTTTATCCAGACTCAGTCCTGTATCACCACCAAGATCCAGAGTCAAAGACCTCTTGTTGAAACTTGGATGTCTCCCCATGCTTCCGGTTGATTGAGAGAAGTCGTCATCCTCTGCACCAAGTGATGGTCGAGCGCGGTGTCTTTCAGGTATGGCCGGAATATTAGGCACCTCGGAACTGACATGTCGTCTCATCTCTCGCATGGCCATAAGATCGGAGGGAGTCGCGGATGGCCTAGTCTTCAGCTTAGATCCAGAAGATTTGATGGTTGCGACCTGCTCTGGAATACTAGGTGACTCGCTTGGAGGGGGAGGATCGTGAACCATAGGATGTCTGATGACAGAATCTGGAGTACCGGGCTCCTCATCATATTCATCTTCCTCCTCGGATCCCCAACCTGTACCATCGTACTCGGGCTTCGACGAGGGCATCTTTCGTTCTTGTGGAGTCTCTGGACGTTGAAGATACTCGTGAGCTTTGGACATGCTTGGAGCTGCTGATGCACTCTCATCCGTGGGCTCAGACATAGGTTGAATCTGGAACTCGTCTTTTGGAGGTGGGAGCGGTGGTGTATGCATGTATGAGGAAAGACTGAGACCAAAGTCGTTTTTGTCCATAAAGCCTTCAAATTCCGGCAAGGAGCCATTTCTATTTTGCTTAACGGGATCTTGCTGGGGTGGTGGCAGTGATAGTGGGCTGTGTGCTCGTGGAGTTGGAGGACCATCATCATCAGGGCCACTGTTGGAGTTTACTTGTTGGTTGTCATTGAGCGCTGGAGGATCCGAGTAGTGGCTTTCGGAATCATCTTCTGCTGGAACCTCATCCTCATCATTATAATCGTCCAAGGAAGATTCTGGTGGTTGATACATTTCAGGGACGGAGTAAACATCCATCTCTTCGTCCTCTTCTGGTTCTGGTTTGATGACTATGCTGTCTTCATCATCGAGCATTGAAGCATCGTCTTCTGTGGAAGGCAACGGAGTATCAGGATCAAGAGGTAACTGACTCTCTGGGCTTGAGGGCATGGGAGAAGACAAGTTATAGTCAGAATCGCGCAAGTTGTCCTGGCCATGTACTTTTCGCATGATCGACTCTCGGGAGATCCTTGGTGGTAATTGGTAAGATCCTAGGTCCGGAAGCGAATCAACGGTATCCTCGTCTTCATGGATAGGGATGGAAGATTCGTGGTCTGGGGTTTGACTATTACGCTCGCGAGGTCCGCCACGTCTCATTCGACGCTCTCTTTGCTGCTCAGCAGCTGATTTTGGTTTTTCCTCATCTTGAATCATCATCAGTTGGAGCCGTTGCTCAATAGACATTTTGCCCCCACTCATTCCCTGAATGTCTGATTTGGTGATCGATGAAGCTGGTGGAGTGAAAGGGAGATGTCTCTGTGCTGCACGCTCAGCAGCAGCCGAAAGTCCGGCAGATGAAGTAGAACCGCTTCTTGCGTGTTGGCCCATTCCTGGTAGGGGTGGCAATGGTCTATGCTCACCATTGGAATTGAGAGAATCGTTCCGAAGCGCTGGCTGTCCAGCCGAAGATGAAGGTCGAGCATCTGGCATAGGACTACCATCATGCCCTCCAAAAGGATTGTTAAATGTGACGCCATCATCATGTGTGTCTGGACTTGCATGTCTCCAATCCTCCGGGCCAACCACGGGAGTCTTATCAGTATCCTCCAGAGAATCGTCAAAACTATCATCTGGTCCCAGAGAATCCCCGTGAACATCATAGAGCTCGTCGTCTTCATCCTCCGCTGAATCATAAGATTGTTCGCGCGAATCTGAGCCAATCGAAGATATATCTGGTGTTGCCATTTCATATTCATTCACCTGAGGAGGCGCTGCATCGAATGTGACGCTCTTTGCATGTCGATGAAGAATTCTTCCTTCAGGAAGGTTCTTATCTTCTTCCGAATCTGCAGCCGACCATATGCCATTCTCAGAATCAAAGCTAGATTTTCCATTGAATTTTCCCGAGGCAAAAGATGATTTGGTTGGTGAAATTTGGTCCTTGCTGGGTGATCGAAGAGGGTTGGCACCAGTTTTCAGAGGTGATCTAGTAGGGGTGTTTGGAATATGATGAGGGCTGTAAAGAGGGACGCTCGATGCGCTTTCGCTGCGTTTGTGACCAACGTTTCCTCCAGCGGATCGAAAACCTCCCAATCCAGAGCCACCGTATGCATTGCCTTGAAGCTGTTTGGCCAACGGGCGTTCAATGTGGGGTACTGAGGTTGGATCGTACTCTTGTTTTTGCTCGCGCGCAAACATGTTGCTGTTCTTCACACGCGACGCACGCTGCAGTCGCTCGATCGAAGATCGTCGGGTGGGAGAAGGGGATGACTCTCGCCCAGCATATAGGTCATTTTCCGATTTGATTTTGAAAGGAGACGCAGGGTCGCGGCCTTGCCAAAACAGTCGAGGTGATGAGTTGCCCTCGGCCGAGGGGCTGAAGGGGGAGGACTGGAATGGAGACGAGTCCATATTGAGGTGCGACTTCTGTTTGAGGCGTTGCCACATTAGTATTCAGCTTCCCGATTGACGACAAAGGCCATCAATTCCGACGTAGTAAAGTCACAGAAATTGTACTTACTGGGAAACTTGGCGAGTTTCTTCTCTTCTCTGAGGGCGCAATCTCGGACAGTGGTCGTGGCAGCTTTTTGGGCGACAACGAATGACCTTTCTGAATGCGCAGGGGTTGTACCTGGGGAAGTCAGCCATTTTCATATTCAAAGTGTTTTCTGCGAAAATAAACATTGTGGATTCTCGGCAACTCTAAGCTTACAGGAGGGGATGGCGATGCCATAGTTCTTGACCCAACAAGCAGCACCAGGTCCCAAGTCTCGTCCGGGACGAATTAGTCGATAATCGTCGTGGCTATTATTAGAGGTGAATTGTATAGGGAGATCGATAATCGCTTGAAAAGGTGATGGCATGGAAGGAGTCCCTGGGGTGGGTGAGTTGTTGATTCAGATGCGGACGCGAGGAATGGCGCGTCGTCCGATCAAGAATAAAAGGAAAGGAAAAGGAGCGAGGTTGAGCGAACCAAAGCTCCAACGTCAAACGACGCCTGAGTGCAAATGCGGATGCCAGCAAAAGGAGAAAACTGCGAAGAAAAGATGCGGTGAGGTGGTGTAGTGTGATGTGTAGAGAAGAAGGTAGTGGGTGATGAGAGCGATATCAGAGAGCGTATCAGCCAGGTCAGACCCAGGTGGTGAGTGATTATCTGCGAGTCTTAATGTTTACTCCCGCTTCGTTGTGTTGTGGGCGTCGGTTGCCTCGCAACGGGGTGTTTCAAGCTGGCACAGGCTGGAGGTTGTGTGTGGCTGGCTCGGGTGGGTGTGCCCGATTGCCCGACTGCCAGTAAGCTCTACGGCGGCCCGGCGAAACTGCGTCTGGACCTCCCCCCAGCCACCGTGGCCCCACTTGTACCCCTGATTGGATTGGCTACGCACTTTGATGCATTAGCGCCCACCGTAGCACTGGTGGTAGACTTTCTCTGGTCTGCACAACAAAACTCTCGTCTCCGCCTGCCGCCGGATGCGCTGCTGCCACTGCTCATGGCCCTACCTAGACGAGCTAGACTCGCTTGGTACGGTATTTACTACTGTACTCGAGTAGACACTTTCTATTTGTATGTCGGTTATGCAGGCACATCAAATTTCATCTCCTAGACGCATTCGCCCTGTATCAGTAGAACTCACAACTTCGACTTCATCTTTCCGTCATCTCATCGTCTCGCAATCGCAGTTGCTACAGCAATCAGCAGCCTCACTAATCGAGTCGAGGCAAGGCAAGCTTTTCTTTTGATTCTTCAAAGCGTAGATTTCCCACCCCAAGAACCTTGGATGGCCATCATGGATCAGCCCAGTCAATAGTGTCATCAACCCGTTTGGGTGGGGCCTTATCCGAGATCTTCCCATGTCATGGAGGGGTACTCGAGCAAGTTCGTCTGGAGTAAACATCAATACGAACAGCTGGTATTACAAGTTACAGCTTCACGTCGTGCTCCCACTCTTGACCCGATCTTTTTTGTTGGTCGCAGCGACAGCGACCAATACATGCAGTGCTGCATCGCATCAGAATATCGCAGGAATTGAGGTGCATGGGCCAATCGTTTGCAGCAACTTCCTCATCTCTACCACCGATAGCCATGTCAATATCTGATGGCATATAAGGTTGTTTACCGGCCTCCCGACCATTTCATTTGTTTACTTTTCGTGTAAACATACGAAGGCTAAACATTATCGATTGATCTCTTTATCAAAGGTGTTACCTTGTTATCGTCCCCGCCTGATACCCATGGTATCCTGGGCTATCAATTCTCCGGATAAAGGATAAGTACTGTGCCGTACCGTGAAGGATAAATCTTCAAGTTCAAAAAAGGTCAAATATTACAGTGACACAGACTGTTGAAGGGGAGAACTGCCTTTCTCTGCCGCATTGACATCAATCCCCTCACGCCATCCCAACTCATTTTTTCAACCTTTCACGAAGCCGAACCAATCTCTGGAAGTCAAAAATTCCGATTACCAGTATTTACTATTTTCCAGAGTAACCTAAATTTGTTACAAGATGTGCGCAAGGCGTGCCAAGCCATGCAACCAATAATAGACCACGAAACACAACTTCTCGAAGCTCACATGGGAATGATGCTATGTAGCATGTCGTAGGTCGTAGAACCTAACATGTCTGCACGCTGAAATTAGACCGACCCGAGAATAAACACATGAAGAAATATGCCTGTGATTGTTCCTAGGCTACACAATGCCTAAAACTCCAGTAGCCCATTCGAAGGCATGATCCCCTCAGAGGGTGAGGCCCAAATCCAACTAGATACTTCTAGACAAATCCAGACTAGAGCACTGGATCCAGTTCCACCGTAGAAAAGTTTTCTTGCCGGTCTTGATTTTTTTTAATTATGGAAAACGACCCAAAAACCAAGTTTCCACACAGACGCGTCAAGAAAGTCAAGCTTCTTAGGTGATTTCCAGATATCGTTAGACTTACTGTACAATATTTCCCGACGACACCCACCTCGCTTAACCCACAAGCACGAAATCTCAACGTTCGGTACTTGGAATCCGATTCCAAGGATTCCAAGGATTCCAAGATTCTGTTCCGAGGTGGAATATTCAAAAGGGGAAGGTTCTGGAATGTGGAATTCTGAATGGAATATATAAATAGCTTTGCGGCTAGTAAATACGGTATCCTCAAGGTGTGACAGACGTGCTTCAGGTAGAACTCAGAACAATTAACACTCTATTCTTAGGACAAAAGACGAGGAAAGAAGGAGAGCTCAAGAGAGCTGGGAACTAAATACAGGTCGTGCGCGCTAGCGCCTCGCTAAGCGAGCATGTGACATCCAGCCCTCGTGACCATAACCGTCACACAAGGTACCGGTACTGAAAGGTTAAATAGACTTGGTACTAATTTGTAAATTGTAAATTGTGAATTATAATCATCCAATATTACTATAGTACCTATACACCCACCCTCAGACTTCACGTACGTAGGTATTTTCAAGTGTATATTCTTACTACCTGTCCCCTTACTATCGCTATATCTTTACTGTTGTAGCCTTACTGTCGTAGCCTTACTATTGAATAAAGTTTTTATCCTATATCATTCAGAAGCGAGAGAGAGGGGGTAGCGGAAGGGGTAACGAAGCAAGGAAATATTTCAGTCGTGCGTGTCGCTTATCCCTAGCCCCGAATACTACCTTCCTATAACGGATAGGTTAGTACGTTTTATACTAATAATAGGTTGTTTACTATCCACCTAACTTTCCTCTCTCCTACTTTCTCTTCTCTTTCTTTCCGAAATCCTAATACTTTATTATAATAGCGAGAGTAATTAGAGGGGAAGAATCCTTAGTAAGATACGAGTTATATAATACTTACTTCTACTAACCTTGGGCGATAGCGTAAAGGAAATACGTACTGAATATTAGGCTTATCCCCTCGAGACTTTATTTACATATCTAGGATTTTAAGTTCAAGATTTCCTATTAAAGCGGTCGGACCGGTCGGAATGATGCCTAGGCGCGCTACCCTCAAACCTAAAACCGTAGGTGTACATATGAAGCCTCGAGGGGATATAGTAACATTTAAATGTTAATCGATTTTGAATCTTAGCGTAGGAAAGAATTACTTAACTACTCGATTAGAGTAAAGGAGGTACTAGTAATTTACTCTACTCTTTTCTTTTTATACGTTAATTTTAATACTTACCAGCAACGTTCGGCCATCTGGAATTCCTTTCCATTCCAGACCCCCCCTCTGGAATAATTCCATTCCTTTTCGGATTTAGCTAGAATTATTTTATTCCAGAGGCTTATATTCTATAGAATTTATAGAATTTCCAGATGGAAATTTATTATATAACCGGGAAAAAGTCGCCCCGGTCCGGGTAACTAATAAAAGGCTTCTATTCGGCTTTAGACTCTGTATTATACCTAGTATAAGGTCCTATCGAAATATCTCGTGATTATCCCCCTTATTGCCCTAGACCAATCGTAGCTAGGAGCTTACGGAGGGCTAGTAGTACCACGCCTACGATTATGTATATCGTACTATAGAAAGTCTCTATAAAAATAGTAACTATTTACTTGAATCTAATAATAGATATATCTACTTGTATACTATTTACTTAAAAACTACTCCTAAATACTACGTTTTAATTATTAGAAAAGCCTCTGGAATTCTATGGAACTCTTGGAATTCTAGAGACTAATCGATGGAAGTATTCTATTCTATTTTATAAGCGCTCTAGAAGTATTCTATATGGAATATTCCACCTAGAATTCCATAGAATATGGTTCCATTTGCCGAACGTTGCTTACGAGATATTAGTACTGTATCCATAACTTGTTGGAAGTTATATATATTCTCGTTGTTATAAGTTGTGGGTCATTTATTACTTTGTGTATGTGTAGAGTGTAATACTAACAGAGTGTTCATCTCCAGGAGATGGCTGAATCTGAATAAGCTAGAGTATTATGTTTGTGCACGCCTACTTGAGTATAGCCAAAGTTCTATTCATAGAATGTGCTTCAAGACTGATAGAACAGTAATTGCAAAGAATTAATGAATACCGGTAGGTACAATTGCGTAGACTTGAACTCATGAAAATCATTCTCTCCAGCTGCCCAGCATCCGCTAATTAAATATCAGAAATGGGAAATTCAGTCTTTTTTAGATTTAACAAAGAATGGAAGGGGTAGATTCAGTTTTCTCCATGAAACCTTGCAGTCCTTTTTGAGAGAGCGAAATTTCTCATTCATAATGTCTTTCTCTAAACCAGGGCTATATACAATCTAGAGCTCAGTTTCCAAAAAGGCTGGAGTATAACCACTCTTTCTCGTTGCTATTGCACCCATCGAGCTGATACTATCCTGTCCCAGTATGTCGAAGACCGCTATATCGGCATCTACTACCTTTTTAAACCAATTTCGTATCTCGACCGCTACAAGAGAGTCCACCCCGAAACTATGAATAGGCTTATCCAAATCAACAGCGTCTTCTTCTATCATAAGCAGGCTAGCCATTCTCGTCTTAAGAGAATTGGATATAATGGTATTGGCATCAGATAGGGAAGCTGAGGATGAAACGAGTGCGCCCAGATTTGCGAAATTTGAAGGATCCCGTGATACTTCATGGTTTCTAGCGTCAATCTCATGAAGTTGCCCAAAGAGAGGCTTGGAAAGCCAATCGGGTTCGACAATATTCTTTTCTCTCAGAGTTCTTGGAAGCGGCAACCCAGTGATTACTTGGCTCTTCATTGCAGAATGTTGATCTAGCCCCGGATTGCAGTAATAGGCCAGAACTTTGTGAAGATCTACCTGGGTAAGTTTATGGTTACCGCCTGCTTCCGAAAAGCCTCGTATTTCATCATGCTCTGCAACAAACCCAACGGATTCGACTATACCGAGGTCCAATGAGGTCGCTTTTTCTCCAATCGAGTCACGATATCTAGCGAGGCCATCTTGATAGGTGTTGCCAGCCGCATAGTTGCTTTGCCCTAGTGAACCAACAATTCCGGCATATGACGAGAGCATGATAAAAAAGTCCATTTTCGATGGTAGTAGCTTGTGGAGATTCCAGGCGCCTGCCACCTTAGGTTTGACTGTTGCCTCGAAATCATCAAAGGTCATGTTAGAAAACATTGCACTCTACACATAGTGGTTATATCAGGCCCAAAAATACAAAGTAAGTTCCAAACTAACCTTTAGGACCATAGACGCTTGTATGCAACCACGAATGGGAGGCATTATCTTTGCACACACAGCCAAGACCTCTTTTAATGCGTCCTCATCTGCCACATTGCAAGGTGGCGTGAGAACATTTACACCCTTAGCCTTCAAGCTTCTTAAAAAGTCCAGAATCTGTTGAGGATATACCGTTTTCCGGGAGAGCAGGACAAGGTGTTTCACATTTCGAGAAACCATCCATTTGGAGATACTACGACCGATACCTCCGAGGCCTCCAGCAATTACGTATGTTGCTTGCGAATCAAATATATCAAGTTGTTTAAAAGGCGGAGTTACCCTGACACGATCATTATCGTCAAACTCCAGAACTAATTTTCCGCTGTGCTTTCCGCTTTGCATAAGCCGAAAAGCATCCTCTGCTTTAGATACCTTGTATACAGTGAGAGGCTGAGGGGTCGTGATTTTCTCTGATTTAGCGAGATCAATCACGGATGTGATAAAATCCTTGTATAAATCTGGCCGCATTTGACATATTAAGATCAAGTCAACGCTAGCAAACGTCACGTTCTTCGAGAAAGGCGACATTGGCAATCCACCCAGCGCCGACACAGAGGGAGCGAGAATGTCTCGCTTACCCACTTCAATAAAGCGACCAAACGGAGCTAGACACTCCCAAGAATATCGAAGAGCATCTCCTGTCAAAGAATTGATTACCACATCAACCCCACGTCCACCGGTCTGTTTCATGATGCCATCTTTCAAGGCCAACGTCCTACTTGAGAAAAAGTTGTCCTCTGGAATATCGTATAAGTCCATGAGAAGCCTCTTCTTTACTCTAGTGCTCACAGTGACATAAATCACTGCGCCTGACATTTTAGCGAGCTGGATTGAAGCCTGTCCAAACCCACCAGCGCCAGCATGTATGAGGACCGATTCACCCTTTTGAATATGCGCAACTGTAATCAGACAATAGTATGCCGTGGAAAATGCCACTATAAACGATGCTCCGTTGCAAAATCTAGTTCTGGGGGAAGAATCGTCACGCAGCCTGCCCTGCACCGACCATATGTACGGTATGCCCCCTTCATGGCACAAACAACTCGATCTCCGATCTTAAATTGGCCTTTAACAGCATCGCCAACCCGAGTCACAATTCCTGCACACTCTGACCCAAGAGTATGCTCCGGTAGCTGACCAAGCGCGATGAGAATGTCTCTGAAATTCACACCCACAGCTTTGACGGCAATCTCGACTTCATCAACATCCATTGGGCGGCGATATTTTTCATCGTCCACAAAAACGAGAGTATCGAGTAAGCCAACAGAACAAATACTCATCATCAAAGGTCTTTCACTTTGCTGCAAAGGTTGCAGCTCTGACGCTGATATGAAAAGATTGCCAGTCAGTTAACGCATGTCAAACAGGAGGCATAATTTTCCCAATTATGTTCAAAAGACTAGAGTCTTCTGTCGGTTTTCCTTGGGCTATTCGATCACTTGCGTTTGTGACTTTGGGGTCATCCATTCCCGCACTCGTCATCTTTAATACTCTAAAAGGCACTCCCCCAAAGTCTCGAAGATCCATGATCGACAAAACAGCGTTGCGGGAGCTACCTTTCATGCTATTTTCGCTGGCTCTCTTCTTCATATTTTTAGCTTACTTTGTGCCGCTCTTCTTCATCCCAGCGTACGCAAGCGTACATCTCCATCAGAGTAGCGAGTTCTCGTTCTACCTTCTCGCCATCACGAATGGAGCATCCTGCCTAGGGCGAACACTCCCTCTTTTCTTCGCGCACAAACTTGGCCCTATGAATCTGTTCCTTGTCTCCACAATCTTAGGGGTAATTCTGATTTTCTCGTGGATTAGCGTACGAAGTCGCACCAGTTTTATTGTCTTCTGTGTATTTTGGGGCATCATATCAGGCGTACTCGTCACAACGCCACCAGCCGCTCTAGCGCATCCAGCACTTTCACCCTCTCCGAAGGTTATTGGGACACGTTTAGGTATGAATTGGAGTGCTGTCGCACTGGGGATCCTTGTTGGTACCCCAATCACTGGCGCACTTGTTGATATCGAAGCGGACAGTTTCCTCCGAGCTCGAATATTTTCCGGGGTTATCATGTCGATTGGCGCATTGTGTCTAGTCTATCCTGTTATAGCAATAGCGAAACATAAATGATTTTGAATGGTAGCGCTCATTTATCGCTTCTGACGGGAACTTAGTACCAAGAGGGTATGGTCGACGGAATGGCGAAATTGGAGGCTTATTTAGAATATATATGATATTCTCTACGTATGTAGATTCTTGCCTCTTAATGAAATCAAAGCGTTCAAACAGCAATTCCTCGTATAGGCGGTGCGATTAAGTCTAAGATATTTAGCAGAACCCTACAAAAGTTTCACAATATGCCTAGTTTTTAATAGCTTGTACGTGTATAAACTCTAATCAAAACCCTTATTAATCCAAGATGCTTATAATTAAGTGCCTTATTAGTAAATTTGTATAGGTGTGTAAAGTTATAAAGAAATTCTTCATTAGTTTATACATTGTAGTCTTCCGGTGCTTAATGCGATGGTGTTAGATCGTTGTAAAGTAATAGGTTGAGGGGGATAGACGGGTCGAGGCTACAAAATACTAAAATGGCGACTCCAGAAATTAAATCTTATACTAGGCTAGGTATATTCCTTGTTCGAAGAATTGTCATTCCTCCTCATTCACACAATCCTAAATCGTGTACATATTCTCGACAGTCTCTACCTGTAGTCTTATATTCATTCTAATACAGAAGGGGTGTGTGGAAGAATGTAATTGCTATCCAGTACGGTATCCCATTGTCCTGAAGAATTTCCAGAGTGTGCTTTACATGCCACAAAGTCCATTCCACTCCTTGTACCAGTCTCCCGCTACTACTCTCCCCCCTTGATTATATCACCGGCCTAATCCTATGAAGCCCAAGACATACTTAACAATCTCTACCACACCTGATGGAGCAGAGTTGGACGTAGTTCGACGGACAGGAGCTTGGGTCGTCTAGACAGGGAATTTCACAAACGTCGCAACGCTATCGAGCAACGCGTTAGTAACGCTATGTTCTTCTTGAGTACATTGAGAAATAAAATCAAAGCTCATTTTTTTTCGATAGGGATAAGGGAGTGGGAGGAGAGAAGAGAATCTTATGTCAGGTATTGCAGTGGTAGTAAAGGCAGCAAGACCAACCATAATCAAGGTAGAGAGTAGAAGTCTCATAGTGAGCGAGAGGATGAGAGGCTTGTTATTGTGGTCATCAGGATTCCACGTAGTAAAATAAGGTACTCGTACAAGGAATAATTCTTTTACTATTGTGTTATAGATCAATAGAGAGATTTCTCAGTTTCTAAGGGAGAGATACCCGCTTTATATGCCCTCACAACGGCACCAAAAGTTGATAGACTTCAACAATCGGTAGTTACCGTTTTCATATTACTGTATGTCATATTGTAACTCTAATTTGATTTTGAGCTCCAGAACTATACTTTGGGTTTTTATCGGCTCATCCACGCGAGTGATGCGTGTAGAATCAGTCCGAGCTTGTACTTCGTCCGTAAAAGTTACAACTATTACTGTATGTCTGTGATGAATTACAATGGTGCATTTGGGTCAAATTAGTAGAGCGTGCTCCATTGTCCATTCGGGAGCGTACCCCGGAATACACAAAACTTAGTAAAACTCTATTCGTTTATAAAGTATACACTCGATGAATATTCGACTCTACTCCTACTTATATATAGATTAAGGAAACTTCTATTATTACATTTATACGTGCGATCGCTAGGCTTGCTTATTAAATAGTAGTAGTGTTTACGTTAGGTAGAATAAGCGAGTGGGAAATGCGGACAACGGAAATACGGGATATTATTGTATTTCCTTTTCATATGGTACATTCCGAATAAAACCACCAGTAGATTAATATATCCGGAATGGTGTTTGCTTTACATTGAACATGCGAGCCAAATAGATCTGTCACTCGATACGAGTTAGCGTTCGTAAAGAGTATAAAACTCTCATTTGTAATAGTACTATTCCCCCCCCTAAACAAAAGGTTATTTCGTGAAAGCGGGTACCCGTTATAATTTGTAGGGGAGGTAGTATAAATACTGATTTTCACTAATAAAACTACACGCAACCGAGTTTATTACAGTAGGCCAACCAGTTAATATAGTAAGCTCAATTTTGATTGGTCAGACTAGACTTTACTAAGCTAAGGATAACGTAATGGCTCCACTTTACACGAAATAACCGTTTTGTTTTGTTTTGCTTTGTTTTGGGGGGGTACTATTAGCAGAAGGAGCAATGCCAGGAGCTAGAATCCCTCTGCTTATGCGAACTTCGAAGACTACTACAAGTATAAGCGGGTTATCGGACGTTCCTAACAACGGACCCGTAGAAAGCTGTTCTTAAATGAATTTAGAAATCTCCCAGCGATGGAGTGAATTTACGCCACGAACGTGTTTTCGTAAAGCGTGTGACAGAATAGGGGAAGCGAGAACAGGTACAGGTGACAAGTCACTAATCAGCACTCACTCATTCAATCACCACTCAAACAAAAAAAGAACAAGGGGTAATACAGTAACCGAGACTTTTACATCTACCCAAAAGAACCCTCAATCCCATTCCCATTCCCAATTCCTCCCCCACACACCACTAATGAAACTGATCCTCCGTAACCCCCTTCCCCATCGCACTCGTACTACTAATGCCCCCAGAAACCATCTTCAACAACTCATCCGCATAATTCGCCCCACTCCACTTCTGATGCTTCACCACATCCACCCCACTATCCATCTCGGGCTCCTGGACAAGCTCCCCATACGCACGCATCCCCTGCTGGCTGTACGCGCGGGCGAACTGGTCCGAGATCAGCGCCGTGGTGTGCAGACCCGCCAGGGTGATGAATTGCCAGCAGTAGCCCAGCTTGCTGAGGCGCTGGATGTAAGTTTCTTGCTCGGCCCGCGGCATGGCGGATTTCCAGTTGAAGGAGGGCGAGAGGTTGTAGGCTAGTCTGTTTTTGCGGGTGGTGTTAGCGAGGGGGTGAGGTGGGGTGGTGAGGTGGGGTGGTAAGCGAGAAAGGGGGAGTGGAGGAAGGAGAAGAGGGGAATGGGAAGGGGGGAAACGTACTTTTGCTCGGGATACACGGCGTGAACNGGTGGTGAGGTGGGGTGGTAAGCGAGAAAGGGGGAGTGGAGGAAGGAGAAGAGGGGAATGGGAAGGGGGGAAACGTACTTTTGCTCGGGATACACGGCGTGAACTCCTTGAGCAAACTGCTCGGCTTGCTTGTAATCCGGCAATTTACTCTCCATCCAGATCGCGTCCGCGTAGGGGGCATACGCAACCGCGCGGTTGATGGCACATTCGCAGCCGCCCTGTAATCGGTAGTACCCTTCTCGGGTACGGGGAGCATCCCAATCCCAGAAGATATCGACACCGATGACGCCCTTAGCAATGGCTCGGGCTTCGGCATGGCTCTTCCCCTTTACCGCAGCGAGGAACTTGGAGATCAGCTCCTTCTTGTTGGGGGAGGGTCCGGCGTTGATGGTGGAGACGACGGCGTCGTTGAAGAGCTTCAGACCAGCTTGGGCGGTCCATGAGTCTTCGATGGCTTGAAGCTCGTCGCCGGATTTCCCGGCTCGCTCGGCGGCTACCATGAGGTCGTTGAGTGGTTGAAGGTTGGGGTTTGTGCTGCCGATGATGTAGGCGTGGTCGCGGGGGTCGATGGTTGTGGTGATGAGGGTTGCTGCTTCGGCATCTGTTCTTGCAACAGCAAGGAGATCGGATCCTAGGGAAAATCCATTAGCAATTCTTTCTCACATTACAAAAGGGTGTAGACAAACCCATGATATCAGCTTGAGCTCTGATAGCAACCAATCGGTTGATATGTTCACTAATTGGAACCAAGACCTTTCCAGCCATATGACCACATTTCTTCGTTCCTGGGGCCTGATCTTCGATATGGATTCCTGCTGCTCCCTTTTCGACGAACAGCTTGGTCAACTTCATGACGGCGGTGAGACCACCATGACCGGTATCAGCATCTGCGATGATGGGTCGGAGATAATCGATGTTTTGGAGCTTGGAACGCTCAGCTTTCGACTTTGTAGAGATTCGTTCTTCGCGTTGTTTTCTGTCGTGGAAGAGTTGTGCCATGAATAGGTGGGCAACTTTGTTGGGGACGGTCGTCTGAAACTTCTGTTAGTTTCGAATTGCCACGAGGGAAGAATTTACGAACGTATGGGTAATCGGCCAAATCTGGACCTGGCTCATCTGAGGCTGAAGCTGTAGATGATGATTGCCAGCCAGAAACATAGACGGTATCGAGGTACTTTGCCATTTGGGTCAACATCGTAGGTTCAAGACATCCATATGTGTAACTCGCTTCACCGTTCTGAGGAGATAACATATTAGCACAATTCCATTGCATTTCGCTCAGAGCGTAAGTGAAATTTACCTTGAATCTGCCCTCCAAAATACGCCATAGCTTCTTTGATTGGGTGTTACTTGGATACTCAATCTTCAAGTTTCCCCTCTTGGCCACAATCTGCTCAGCAGTGAAGGATCTCTTAGTGTATCTCCATCTCGGGTCACTCCACCACTTCTTAACAGCAGCCACCTCATCCAAAAAGATCTGTTCTTCCTTGTTAGGATCGACAGCGAAATTGGCCATCTTGTTGGTAGCCATGATTGCGGTGGGATTGGAGGAATGTGGAATCGAATAAACAACTAGTTTTAAATGTGTATACAGACCCAACCAGATCTACTGTTGGAAAATGTGCAAAGTGGAGAAGAAGTAAGGAAGAATGAGGAGAACAGCAGAAAAGTTAGCTTTGGATAGGGTTCATATGACTCAGCTAGCACCTCTAGTCCAAATCACAAGCAAAAGACAATCCCTTTGCTTCGGGTCCAAGCCACATTATATACCAACACCATCCATCCCAGACCAGGCCAGGGCCAAACGCTCAAGAACCCCTCTCTTGTCCTCGGAAGCATATAATACACACGTGCTCAGCTCAGGACTTGGCCAACGTTCACCCATTTGACCGGCTACCAAGAATCAATACTCACTCAACCATCAAAGCTGAGCTTCTTGACCGAGGACGAGAAAGGTTGTCTGACGTTCCAGATAGTTTGGCGTATCGGCTCGGCTCAAAGGCTCCCAAGCAAGGCAAAGCCGTGATTGGTCCACGGACCGAACCCCACATTCCACTTCTCCAGAATTGTTGACCCCCCCGCGTCATCGAAACCTTCACCAGAAGTCCTGAAAGGCGCAACCTACATGTGCAATACCACGAGAGTAAGACGAGACTTTTCCTCAGTGAACTGTAATACAGCACGACTTGTCACAATACCAAAAGAAGGATATCCCTCATCAAAAATATATAAAAAGAACTTGACTTTCACATGAAAAGAGACGATCAAACATCGTAAACGCAACGTTGGCATGTGAAAGTAAACAGTTACAGCCGCACCACCAGCAACAATCAGCAACATCGTCATGCAAGATCCAATTGATCTGGGGTCAGATTGTCCTGCGTAGTATCGGAGCGCATAGAATAAATAGCCTCGGCAACCGTATCACGAGTCAGAGTACGCGTTCCTATCATCCTCCGATTCATGGGGAGGCAGGGAAAGGTGAGATGGAATCCATCAAACAAGAACAATGTCCCGTGATTTAAACTACACAGCAATCTTGGTAATCTGGATTGGGTTTCAGGTATATCAAATGAGAAGAGAAGCTACCCATGCACACATGTAGAACTCACGTGCCTTTTCCAGACAGTCCATCCCTAGGTGGAAGTGCCTTGTACTGGTTTAAAGGCTTTAGATAATGAGCAACTAGTTAATTTGCGAAATTCCAGCTAAGTTATATCTATCCCAAGAGCCCAATCATTAATCAAACAACGAAGAGACAGTCAACTAAGCTAGAAAGTCCGCTCAAATAAGTTGCCCTTATACACACGGTCATATTGCAAAAGGTCCTTCCTTAGCTGAAGAAACCAGTCTAATACCAGGGACCATCATCATTTAAATTCTCACTTCTTCTGAAAATCTTCTTTGTAAGCCCATACAAAGCAAACTCCGAAGCGAAACAACAAGGCGGAAAACACATTTTCATAGAGTATTCGAAACTCTGGGTATCGCGTAATGTCGTTAGCGAATGCGCATTATAGTACTGTACTGTTGACTGATCTAGTTCGTTCGAGTATCATGAGGGCATTAATATTTTATTCATGGATGAGGAGCGAGGAGCTCAGGAATGCCTTCTGTGGCACGAGCATAATCGCTCCAAGGTGTCAAGGTACCAAGAGCTCTTTGCATATGTGCGTTCGTAAATTCGAGACCAAACACATAGCTGGCATTGACCCAGCCAAATCTGAAAACGTCAGAAAAGAATGGTTATTTCGGAAGAGAGAACTTACCCTTCTTTGGCAACTCCTTTGAAGTCAAGCCCTTGATTTCCATACTCAGCATCAACTCGATGTGGTGCGGTAAGATGCGTAACGTCATATTTCTCGACCACAACACCGTTGAAATCTACAAAGGCTTTTGTCATCATGAAAAGCCATTTGTACGCTAAACGTGCTACATCCTCATGGTAGCCATATCTGTCCAATGCGGTCCATGCCAACATTTGTTGCGGAGCCCATCCATAAGGATAATCCCACTGTCTGTTTGGTCGTTCCAATCCGATTTCTCCTCTTGATTCCTCTGTTCCAGACACCAAACCACCTAGAACCTCAAATTTGGGGAGGGCGTTCGACACGAGAAGCGATGCCTGCAAAGGAGTTGCAACGCCCGACCACATAGCCCAAAATGTAGTACAAGTTTCGTAGGTACATTGCTCTTTCTTGACAGTATCATAATCGAAAAACATGCCCTTCTCCGCGTTCCACTGATACTTGTCCATGGCAGCCTTACGGCGCTTAGCTTTGCGATCCCACATGGATGAAGTTTCGATATGATCTGGAACCATATCACCAACACAGAACTCCTCTGGAATACGAAGCTTATCACCGAAAAATCTCTTGATAGCCTTTGCAATATCTTTTTCGTACTTGTAGAGCAGAGAATTCAAGTCAATAGTTGCGAGATTTGCGCATACCCTCTCCAAGCGATACGAAGTGTCATGGCCGGATTCTCGTACGGCACGATCATGGAGAAAGTACTCATCGAGATCTGGTTCAACGACTCTGCCATGATTGTACGCATCAACGAACTCCTCGAACGTCAATCCATGCTTCTTGGCATAAGGCTCCAGGATGTGAGTGAAATGGGTCGCCTCAGTCTCTGGGGGAACACCCAGACCTTCGGGGCGATATCGAGAAAGGCCTGTCTCGGGGTCATATCGTGGCTCCGCCATCCAAACACTGTTGTATTCTTTAATAGCAGCTAGGATAGCAGTCCGCAAAAACTCCTTTGCCCCCAAATCAGTTGCCTGAATCTCTTCGTAAACTCGCATTGCCATGTCTGTTAAGAATGGCGGCTGGGATCTACAAAGGTAGTATGATCGAGTAGCGTTGAGTATCTTGCCATAATGTTTGATGCAAAAACAAAAATGCTCCACCATTGACTTTGCTAGATGGACTTTTCCGTTGGCAATCAAACCAAGAGACTCCATATAACTATCCCAACCATATAACTCGTTGAAACGTCCTCCAGGAACCACAAAAGGTTTTCCTTTAAGAGATTTTGCACTAGTGACAGGGTCCGTGATTTCTTCCATGGCTACGGCGAGAAGACCCGGCTTCACATTCATGTCCCTGACAGCCTCGGGTGTGATTTTCTTAGGCAGCCAGCAGACATCGAGACGAATTTCGGGTCTCTCCTTGGCAACCTTTGTGTAATACTCGTACTGTTCTGGGGCTCCGTGAGGAACGTAGATACGTGGTCTTGGGTCTGGGGTCCAATCCTTTGGGTCTCGTCCCGCAATCTCGATCACGGAACCGTCAATTACTCTTGTTAAACGATCCCAGAAAGAGTCTTTGATGAGACGCGCCAATCGATTGGTGGGGTTCTCATTCAACCGGGACTCGTCCAAAATGATCTGGTGGCGACCAAGTTCTTTGGCCAAGTGCAGTTCTTGAAGCAGGTTCGAGAGCATATACGTGCCCCGAATATCGAATCTCTTGAACCCATTTGACGCTGCCGTTCCCAAAGAGAGGACCTATTGAAATCAATGAGCAGATTGCCAAGATTTGCCAATTTCCACACACCTTTGGACCTGTATCTTCAATTGTAATCTGCCAGTTGTTGTCCGTGTCTTCCTGCTTTGCGAGATGGGCGAGGGTTGATTCTACCTGAATTAGGAATCTCCGAGGGAACAAGGAAGCCTCATCTAAACTCAATCGTTAGCGTCCTACCTTGTCCTGTTTGCTCGTCTGTCCGTTAGGAAGTTCTGCTCACCATGAGATCCCCGACGTTGGGGTTGTCGGGGTCCGAAGACGCTATCGACTACCGGATTTTGGCTCTGTGGGAGGAGTCAGTCAATGGCAGCAATTGGCAGAAGTTCAAGTAGCCTACAGAAGAGTATGTGCGGGTGCGGAAGTGCTTGTTGGTTTTGTAAACGGACTCGTTGCCATAGTAGATTTCAGGGGTGGTGTAAGGATCGATATCGTGCGACTGGCGTGCCCGTAATGGCGAGCTCATGCTTGGTTTGCTATTTGATTCGAGATGGCGAACTGATTGTTTGACTGTACGTGGTGGTTTCAATGACGCGTGGTCTCAATGTCAGAATTGGAAAGTTATGGACGAGGACGGGTTGGTTGGTTGATGGACCGAGACTGGCGGTGGAGGAATTGGTGAAGAACAATCCAAATTAGATCCGAGGTTGGATTGTCGAGGTATATAATTGCAGTGGCAGTGGCTGGATGAAGTGGCTGATGTACTTCAAGAAATTGGAAACCACACCTGCAAAATTCTCAGTTCTGTCGAGTCTGCAAAGTGAAAGTGCTAGGTTGTCAGGAAATCTGAGGATGATGTAGTGGGTGGATCGTCGAGTTAATCGATAAGGGTCCCCCTGCGCCTGCCTCCTAGACTGCTGAGAGTGGGTAGGAGGGTAGGTACCTAGTGGTGGGGCAAACAGGACAGGCACCGAACTACCTGCCTAGGTACTCAACTATTCGAGTACTTGAATACCAGATAGCTAGGTAGGTGGGTAACAACTTCACGATATTTCAGTTCTCTCGGAAACAAAGAGGGCAGCGAGCAGCATCAGATTCGGCATCCAGAGAACTCGGTATCGTGAACATGTGCTGCGCAGGTGGTGCGGGCACTGCATCACCTCTCGATGCTGTGAGTCGGCATCGCAGACTCTGATTCGACCGTCCGCTACCGCTCTGCTGAGTCCCAAACCGCTTCCACCGACTCGCATCATGGTTGAAGTGCTGAATCAGTTGGGTGACTTGGGTCGCCGTCAGATGAAGAATGGCAGCGAATGAGAATGATGGACACCCGCAGCCTCAACCTCAAAGAAAGGGAAAGCGAAAGCGAAAGGGAAAGGGTCCGCTTTGGCGTGAAGTAAGGGAGTGAGGAAGCAAGGGCTCCCTCCATTCGTTCATTCTGAAAAGTCGCCTATAATAAGAAGCGCATCCGCCTCCATCTCGATTTCGTCTCTCAACTGCACCTGTTATCGTTCATTATTGGCCTATCCATCAGTCCCGAGGTCACAGTCACACGACCTCACTGCTCTTTCTTTCAACTCGCGCTGGACGAAACAACAACTCGGTCATTGTCGATCGCCAACAATATTTCGCAGGTTTCCTTCGCTCACCGATGTTCAATGCGTTGGTAAATGGTAGTTATAGGGAGATATGTCGACTATCAAGGCTTCATCTGAGATATATGATATCTCGTCGATCATATTGGACACATCGGATAATCCCTCGTGGGAGGGGTCGATGAGGGGTCGAACCGCCCTTAGTACTCTCCATGCCAGGGACGGTGTCGGAATTCGGACGAGATTCCAAGAGGTTACTGAACGACTGGTAGAGGGGTTGGAAGTTTGGTCAACATCTTTCCATTCGTCAATTGATATCTCGCCAGTTGTTCCACCACATCTCCACCTTCTCGTCTCCCTTCATCCGCTGGCCTATTGGCCATACACAAACTCCCATACGTCCGGCTCGAAACCGTATCTTTGGAGAAATTGAGGTATCTTGTTACGCAGCAAAGTCCTTCGGTTTCATGAAAGAACCCAGCTCCACTAACAATAATAGTTGTTGCTTTTTCCGATCAACCAAAATTGTGTGCCGCGTCAAAATCAGAGATCGAGATGCAAATCTACTGTTATTCTTTCCATGCGATCAGCCATTTTTCCACACAACCTATGGCCAGCTCCTTGCCGAGTTCCAAGTAAGACATGAAGGAAGTTTTCATGTCTAGATTTCAAGATTCCCCCCCATGGGGCCATGGCATACAACACGCGCTGTCTTGCTACTTTTGTTCATTGATTTCATTCGACTTCAAAATCTCATTACCACACTCAAGAAATAAGTCTTAAAACCCCACAAAAACATCCTTCTTCTTTTTCTCCAGTTCCTTAATTGTACTAGTCCAACTATCATCAATCTCTTTATGTAAAAAGTGAACTCTCAGCAGGTATTCAGACCCCTAAATGTTTCATTTTGCCAAGTTTTGGTCTACTTTGAATCTGACTGGGAAGGCATTTGGGCCTTGGCATTTACAACTCTCTTCTGGCGATCGAACAACATATTGTTATCAACCTAATGTTTCCCCTTGAAAAAGAAACCTATGGTGTTTTGTTCGCACACGTTCTACTTGTTTACATTCGATTGTTTCCAGATTGTTTCTCATGGAATGTCGCAAATGGGCTTGATAAGGAGGAATACACGCATTCGGATAATGGCGACACGCTCACAGCAATCACGTTATCCATTCTGACATCCACCACACTCTTTATCGAAATGCGAGTTGATGACGAAGCTCCTCGCAATTTTCCTCCTTTCAATTATGAAAATGTTAATGTATTTTGGTATTGACACCTGCAGTTTACAGACAGACGCCTCTAATACCACCCCACCTTCGGGTGGTTTTTTTGTTCCTCAGCCACCAGTCTTACAATTCCATTTTAGCCAGGCACGCACAACGAGGTCCGCGGTAATCTTACCTTAAAGTGTGAGCGGGACGGAGCGATGTATTAGAAGTTTCTTTTCTTTATTTTGATGCCTACATCCTTGCTCTACAATATGGACAATGAGGTTGCTACTGCCACCATACGTATATGAAAAGATGCAGTTTGCGTGTTACAGTGGTTCTTTTTCTGTCACTTTGACTGTATATGAGCATTATTTGAGGGATAGTATGAGTGGGGGTTTTGATGGAAATAAATGTGTTGGGAGGTTGGGGGTGCAGGCACTCTGCGCCAGCCACTTCGTATGGGCGTTGAGGTTGCATCTTCCCTCCCAGATGCGGTAATCTTTGGGACGATCATATGCAGTTTGGGCGGGATTGCAGCTTCGCCAATACGGAGGATGAGGATGCTTCAAATTTCTTTTCAAGTCAATTATTTACTTGCGACGGGCTGATATTTGCAGAATTCGTTTCTGAGAATTGGATCGGTCTTCACGATCGCTAAAGATTCCGGTATGTCTTTTTTGGATTGCAATGAGTGATCAGTTCATGTAGCCGAGCTCAGGGCGGCTGCGTCCGTTGACTGCAGCTAGCGAAGCAACAGGGTTCTTATTGTGATCAGTGTGCTGTCCTGCATCGACATCATCGTCAACGGTTTTGTAACCTCACTTTATCTATCTTCGGAGCAAAACTCCAAACAACGAGTCCACCACTTCAGCATCCAAGTTCCAACCACACCACCAGTCCTCTTTTTCTGTCGTTATTCTACTTGAAGAGCAAGCATCTCGGATAAGGGGCGCCATATTTCACCACCCGACATGGTATCAACGCCATTTTTTGATCCTCAAGTACGGGCATCCCCATGGCAATCGAATCCACGATCTCCTTAGTATCCGCATACCTCCGGAGCCTTCTGAGGTTCTAGAACGACTTCGAGGTCGATTATTGATTGCGTGCCGACCCGACATAATAAAACTCCGCTGACTACTCCGTACTGCTACATCATTATCTCGAACCTGCAGGGGTTTGAACAATACCCTGGTTCAACGCGCCCAGTAGAGTGTGAAATTCCTTCATTAGGACGGCCAGCGATCCATTTCGGATGAGCGCTTAGGGCTCGCTCGGCGAAATAGGATGGTGAAGAATGTAGTTCTCGATTGAGATATTGATGAAAACACATCATTGCCATAGTCCCCTACCCATCTTAGTTGTGTGTCGGTAGTTTATCGGCTGGCCATGCCAATCCAGAGGCTCGTTGTGGTGTATGGCGGTAATCCCACGTTCAAGTACCGGTAATGATCTTGATATTGACGATATTTCGGGAAGCAACACACTTTGCCATGGCAGTTCGGTTGGGTGCTGGTGGCGTACTTGGGGGCCAACTCCAACCTCTGCTATTCCCTGTGAGAAGGCAACTCCTTGTTGTTGATGGTGTGGGTGGAAATTTCAATCTATACTTTTAAATTGTGCTGCGTGCTGATACTTACACAGCTTTAGAACGTCGTCTACCTCAAATCACACCACCAAAGAGTGTGGGATCTTGAGTATCATGGGAATTAGTTACTGGCTCCCGGACTTCATGCCTGGTTGCTTTCTAAATCCACTCATTGTTGATTGCTGCCGTCGGTCAACCTTCCATTTTTCTGCGCATCTGTTACTATCCCGTCGGAGTGGGTTGTCGGCTAGCTTCTGCAGCTCTGTATCTCGCAATCCACTTTGAGGTATTCAGTTACCCTTGTATCCTGGATGGTATGTCCCATTAGGCTTCCTTCAAACAGAGTTGTATTCGCATTCGGGAGTTCGATCGCTTGTTCTATGGCATTTGGACCTAGACTCGTATGGTGCCAGTATGTTATGCATAACTCCCATGCACGTGAACACTTTTTCATTGGTCTCGCTAAGGAAACATTCGACGGACATCAATGTTCGCGATAATCCTATCTCCAACACTTCCAGTGTCTTTATTCACAATGGACCTCCGAAAGACTCGGAAAGAGTCATCATCATCTCAGCCGAAGGTAGTATCAATGGCAATGTTTCTGCTGGACGTCTTTAATTCTTTAGCCAGAGGAGATACACAAAAGCCACCAACCAGAGTATGTGGATATTAGGACGGCTGCACTATCTCCACCATGAGTATGGTGTTGCGGCTACACTCGTGGATGCCTGGTCCTTGGTATTTTTATTGGAAGCTGAAGTTTTCTTCATCGAGTATCAAACGTGGTTCCGCTTTACAGGGGATGTCATCCATCTCTTGACGCAGAACGCTGGTAGCCCAGTCTAGCTTCTTTTGATACCCTTGTAGCGAAGCTTGTTTATCGAAGCCTATCATGACTTTCTGGCAAGCATCGTGTGCTTGGGTACATCGTGGCACTGGCTCGGTTTACGGTCTGAAGATACTAGGTAGAAGAGTGACAGCCTCCTACGGTTACTATTCTCCGACCCAAATCGCCACCGCTCTCAAATATTGCCATGCAGGTCTCCGGGTGCTAAGGCAATCTGCTTATCCAGAGCCATGTGTACGGAGTATTGTCTCTAACAATAGATACATTGGACCCTGCATGGAGGTGCTGGCTCTCCCAGAGTTTATCGCCCATCCTTGTCACTGACAGACCTCTGCTTTGAAACATCTCTCTTAAAGCTGCTTCCATCCCGGAGTTTGCAGTTTCTTAATCTTGCTGTCAAGCCAAATATTTCGCAGTCATGATGGACTTTGTAAGAGGGTATCTGCAGCCTGGCTCCGCACCAAAGAAGGCCAATCCCAAGCCCAACCCCAGAAAGGCAAAGAAGAATGTTGCGAATCCTCCTAATACCGCACCGGCTGTTGAGTTGCAGCATTCTCCGACCATATCAGGCACATCGACTCCTATGCGAAATAGTAGATCACGGCCTTCGTCTCTATATCCTCGGGGTGACTTCAGGAATGCCCCAGCTCAGAACGTTCTAGATGTTAAAGCAGATGTGATGGTCAATTGGTAAGAACCAAATATCTCAGGCTTCCTATTCTAGGTGGCTAAGAGGGCCTTTCATGGATGGGGTTTCATATGAGTGAAGATATGCTAATACGTTCCTAGGCTTCATGAACAGCAGATGGAAAAGTCGTGGTGTAGTGGCGGTCCAGGCGAAGGCGTTGTTCTCAAAAAACGACGAGACAACTTCACCTGTGCTCCAGAGAATCTAAGCACTGATTCAAGATTCTATGATATGGTTGTTGCCATGAATGTTCGGGTAAGTTTCCTAATTGATCACTACGAAGGACTTTCCTAACTTTTGACCCAGTGTGCCATGACTGTCAATACTCGAATAATCAAAATTTTCCTTTCTCATCATAACGCTGATTACGTTCCTCTGAGTGACGGCCTTCGTGTGCAGGTGCTGCCTTCGGTTGATTACCTCACACGGTGCCAGAAACATCATTTCGCAGCCTTCATTTCTGACCAGCAAATATTGGTAGTTTGGGATGACGAGCCCCAGAAACTTCTCGGACGAGCAGAAAGTATTAAGCGTTCGCTTATGCAAATGATATGGGACGAAGAGGAAGCAGATATGGCAAATGAGAAGGCGAAGGAGAGCGCAAATGTTTCAACTGTGGAACTGGGCGACGATAGCTCATCAGCTGATCTTGAAGAGGCAGTCCCAACTCAAAAAAGACCAACTTTGCTCATAAATCCCATTATGGTCGGCCTTACACTTACCTTACTTACAGCCGCCTTGGGCCTCGGGTTCAGAAACCTTGCACAGGAAGTTGCTATCGATGGCAATTACATCAGACTTGCACTCTTGGTCGTCACACCCTGTCAAGTCTTCGTCTCTCTCTTCTTCATGCAGATCATCGTGGTCAATGTCGCCCAGATATTTGGTCCAATCAGCCAATTGCAGTCCAATTCGAAATTTTATTCAGCAGTTGCTCCTCCGCGAATCGATCGCAATCAAATATCCCTACCACATGTCACCATTCAGATGCCAGTTTATAAAGAAGGTCTTGTGGCTGTCATTCAACCGACAATCATTTCGCTAAAAGCCGCCATCTCAACATACGAGTTGCAAGGTGGCACGGCCAATATCTTTGTCAACGATGATGGAATGCAGCTTTTACCGGAAGAAGAAGCCCAAGCTCGACGCGACTTTTACGAAGAACATAGCATCGGCTGGGTTGCTCGTCCTAAACACAACCCAAAGCCCGATGGTGAAGAAAAGGCCTTCGTGAGGAAGGGCAAGTTCAAGAAAGCGTCCAACATGAATTATGCGTTGATGGTCAGCAACAAAGTAGAGGAAAAGCTTGCGCTTGTTGAGCGATCTGTGATGTGGAATCAGGAGAACGAGTATGCAGCTTATGATCGCTGTTTGGCTGAGGTACTTGCCGGAGAGGAGGGCCGAGCTTGGGCTGAGGGAAACATTCGAGTGGGAGATTATATTTTGCTTATTGATTCGGATACTCGTGTTCCGGTAGATTGTTTGCTGGATGCTGCGAGTGAGATGGAGCAATCGCCAGATGTTGGCATCTTGCAATACACCTCGGGTGTTATGCAGGTGACTGATAGCTTCTTCGAGAACGGGTTAGTCATCTTTGCTTCGAATTCGTGGTTTTGATTCTAACGTGGTGTCAACAGTGTCACTTTCTTTACCAACTTGATCTATACCGCCATTCGGTACACAGTAGCCAACGGGGATGTTTCTCCTTTTGTGGGCCACAATGCCATCTTGCGATGGACTGCTGTCCAAACCGTCGCTTACACGGACGAAGATGGCTACGAGAAATTCTGGTCCGAGTCCCATGTTTCCGAGGACTTCGACATGTCTCTTCGTCTTCAAGTCAACGGTTACACTATAAGATTCGGTGCTTACACCGGCGACGGCTTCAAAGAGGGTGTCTCTCTTACAGTCTACGACGAATTGAACCGTTGGGAAAAATACGCATACGGTTGTAACGAACTTTTATTCCATCCTTTCCGTCTCTGGGTCACCCGCGGACCCTTCACACCACTCTTCCTCAAATTCCTCACTTCAAACATCCGAGTCACATCCAAGATCACAATCCTTGCGTATATCGGAACGTACTATGCCATTGGCGCAGCCTGGATCCTCACAGTGGCCAATTACTTCCTGATGGGTTGGTACGCGGGCTATCTCGATAAATACTATCTCGATTCCTTCAAAGTCTACTTCTCCTTAATCATCGTCTTCAGTGCACTAGGCAACATCGCCCTCGCCATCCTCCGTTACAGACTCTCAGAAAAGAGTCTCCTCGGCGCTAGTAAGTCCCCCCTTTCCCTCCCCTCCCCTCCAACAAACACCCAACCTAACCCTCCGCAGTCTTCGAAAACTTCAAATGGCTCCTCCTCCTCACCGTCTTCCTGGGCGGCATCTCCCTGCACGTCTCGCAAGCACTGCTCTGCCACTTCTTCGAGATCGACATGACGTGGGGCGCGACGGCCAAGGAAGTCGAGAACATCTCCTTCTTTGAGGAGATCCCGCGTCTGCTTACCCGCTTTAAGTTTACCTTCCTTTTCTGCTTTAGCATGTCGGCGATGATGATTGTGTTTGCGACGGCGGTGCCGTGGGAGTGGAAGATTGATGATTTTGTGGCGTGGTATCCGTTGTTGACTGTGGTGGTTAGTCATTTCTTTTTGCCGGTTGCGTTGAATCCTGCGTTGATGATGTTTACTTGGTGAAATGTCACTTGGGAAAGCTTTTCTTTTGTTTGTGTGGGGTTTGGGGAGGTTTTGTTGTTTTTGGGGATGGGGATGGGAGTTTTTAGATGGGTGGTGTAATGGGATTGATGGGTTGGGTGGGGTATATATATGGTAGGGGGTTTTGTTTTACGTGTGAATTTCTTATAATATATAATAGACCAATTACATATTGCCAACTTCATATTTGATCCTAGAGGGGTAACATCGTTTCGCGGGGTAGGCATAGTTGACTAAAATATCTCACACCCTGATCTAAGGATTTTAAGTGCTTATGGGGAGGATTGAAGACGGTGAGTGGTGAGTGGGCTTTTACTGATGTCGCTACGCCAGCTATTCTGGGGACTCAACTCGGTTCTTTCTTGTTATGTAAGGTGGTGGGAACAGCATAGGTTGAGTGGGTGTGAAGTGAGTATTTTGGAGTGAGAATTCGAAGATATGAAGATGGGGGAGATGTGATTCATATGAATCAAAAACCTTGGGTGTTGTGAATACTTCTCTATTATATGGAAGCTATACAGTAATGCCACCTCTCCTACCCTAGAGGAATCCTTGATCTTCCTCAAAACGAGGAGAGTAGACAGCATTAGCATCTGGCATCATACCACGCCACGATCAGCTAATATACTTGTATAGCGTTGACGCGATGGATTTGTGTTGAGGCGTGTTTTTGGGAGATACATGTGTGTAGATATCTTGGGGGGTTTATAGGTAGGGGGGCCGGTTTGTTCAAGGAAGACGTAGCACTTGGTAGATTTATCAGATCAAGTTTCGAATGGATAGTGTAGGTGGAGAAGACAGTGTTATTCATCTAGCAAAAATGGATATTGGTGACTGGGCAGGCAAATCAAGTTTCGCTAAGTCATCGGTGGCGTATGAGTCTTAATCACTATCTCTGGACTGTGAGAATAATCTGGAAGCAGAGGAAAAGAGTGATAATAATGAAATTTTGGCTAGCTACAGAGCTCCTGAGACGATCACCAGGATGAGGGTATAAGGCACTTGTAATGAAGGCTATGACCTCGCTTAACTAAAATGCCCCTAAACACCGCTGGAAAACAAAAAAAGAACAAATACGATCGCGCTCTCCTTCCTGAGAGGGGGCTACCAAAGTCAAAAAATCAGACAAACTGAGTTGTTTGCATCTAGATCTTGAGTTTACTCTTACTTCGAGTCGTACTATATGAAATAATCTCTAGGCCTCAGTTCGAGTTAGTGGGAGTTTGATCACTGTTGGCGGCCGAGGAGATGAGCTTGTCAAATATACCTCTTCAATTAGAATTTAGATTCTCATGGGTATATTTTGGAGGTAGAAGGGGTATGGGGATGTTTGGTGCTGGCCGCCTGACGAAGATTGGTATTTCATGTTAATATGATTGGGTGCGGGGAGTTGCTGAGGACTAGCCTGACCACTCAAAACGCGATTTCGCCTGTTAATCACAGGAGACAGGTGCATTATCTGGTCTACCTATTCCCTTTGGAGGGTTAGACAGCCAAGGTAATCATACGGCCATATCTAGCGGTGTGCTGCAGCAGCCGGATAGGCAGGAAGACAAACCCCAAAGAATGTAAAGTAACGTAAGAGTCTCGTATCTTCTAATTCTGTAATTCTCTAAGTCTCTCAAACTCTCTATGTATCTAAATATCATGCTAAAGCTAGGACAAACAACATCATACAAGAGCCCCAGAGGCATCAAGCACCATCCTCAAAGATATCCTGAAAACCCAACCCCGGTTCCTCATCACACAGCTTGCGCGCAACACTTACAAAGTACCCCAAGCGACCTTTGCCATCCTTGAAGTAGGCCTCGTGGTCACTGGTACCGCAGAAGGCGTCAATGAATATAGGCTTTAACCTCGGTTGCATAGTTTTCACGCTCAGTTCCGGGTAAGGTGGTTCGGGTAATGGATTCAGACCATGTGCTTTAAGGATCATGTTGAAGTGTTGGAGCTTTTTCATCCGGCAATTGTGCCGGATGAAATCGATCGGAACTTGGCAACACTCGTTCTTGGGGTCTTCGAGGTGATCTCTCGCTTCTCTCAGAGCTTCGGATAATGTATTCAAGTGCTGCTCCCTTCGTGAATTGATTTTGTCTCCAAAGTTAGTTATTGACCACTAGGTTCTTGGGCGTTAGGCTTACCAAAGACTTGTCGAGGTATAGGCAGTTTGTCAAGAAATTTCTTAAAGCGACATGGGTTATTTGAAGTGGTGCTGACTGGGTGTTTTAGGTGTAGTATAGCGAATTTGGTAGACATCGTAAAGAGATGTGGAATTCTAAAAACCCATGCAATGGCAATCCACTCAAAGGTGCGACACATCTTTAGATCAAAGTAAATCGCCAGGTTATGGAGGTGGGACTCATCCGGTCCAGTAAGGGAAGCATGATCATTTTCCAGCTTCTTAACCCACCCTTCTATTATGAGCGGTCCCACGCAATCATGCACTTGGTATTTGTCTACCTGCACGGCGAGATTTGTCAATGTAGGTAAGATGAGCTGATCCGGGATGTGCTTGTACTTTGCATGGACGAGCATCATGAGAATCTTAAAGGCACTATCACAGTCTTCTGGTAGTGGGATAGTCACCGTCCCCTTTGTACTAAGCTGTTGACCTTCTTGAAAGCCAACTTGGAGCATTGCTTTGAATACGGGAGATGCCAGACTCAAGTGCTTAGAGGAGACGAGCATTTGGGGTCTTCTTTCAATATATTAGCTTTTGCCGTAGAACGTGGGGTGTAATCTATGTTACATAGCTATCTCGTCGCCAAATACCAAGACGACATCTCCCTCGGGGTCGAAAATGAGGTATTCTCGAACCATTTTACTCAAGCGGGATTCTTGGAGGGTGCTGGTATTGCGATGGTGGTTTGAATGAGCTTTCGAGTCTGCTGTTCTTATCTGACCTTGTTGGTTGTGGTTGTTTGTGGTGCTGTAGAGAGAAATGCAAAGATTATTCAAATATGAAACAGAGCTTTTGCCTGCTTATCGAAGAGTTTAAGGTCGAGTAATAATTTTGAAGAGTTACAGTGTTTTACTGCTATAAGAAGTGGGCATCAGTCGTGAATGTGGTTGGGCCTAAGCGAAAACCATGAATACTTCGCAGGACCTATACTATTAAATACCCTGTGACGCAGAAAGGATTCATACCTATAAGTTACTCGTCTCAGTCTGGAAAAAGAAGACCAGAGTATTACACTTAATCTCACTTTCTTGCCCATTCCCAACCCCGAACAATCGTTTTTGCTTTGGCTCTCCAATAATTCCATGCATCAAAGTCTTTCCCTATCGCATGGGGGTCCGGTTTTTTACCCGAGTATTCGAACCCCTTCTCTTATCTTCCATGCGGGAAGAAGCGGTGTGAATGCATTTGCGGCAGCGGATATGTAATTGGTGATACCGTAACCAAAGAATTATTAATGTTGACGACTAGTATATCGGTTTTAGTCGTACCCGGGTGTGCTTTTTCGGCTGTATCTTGGTCTTGAGCAGAAGGAAATACTCCTTTCACGAACTGACGGACGACCGGACCAATTGAAACTTATGCGCCCTCGGATATAGACATGAATCTGGATATACACAAAGTCTGAGTAAGAAATTGCGTAGCTCATAAGCTCGATCAGGCAGGGTTAGCGTAAGCCCTAGGTACCGGTCATCATAAATCAACATACGAGCGTAGTGAACCAAAGTATAAATGAACGTGTCTGCTCAGCCATACTTGAGTACCTAGAGTAGTATTCTCCAAAGATCAGCCTTCGATTCAACATGGCCGCAGAACTTCTAGCTTCTGAATTTGCAACGACCGTCTCTAGCAATGACTCAACAGAAACCCACGGGTCCTGTCTCTGCGGTAAAGTGAGATATACAATCACCGGACAACCACGGACAAGAGTTGTGTGTCACTGCCTCAGTTGCAAGAAAACCTCGGGGTCATCCTTCATGGCAAACGAGTTCTATGATCGCGAGGTAAGCCCGCCTATATATTCCTCTGTGAGATTAGGAAGATGGACTTACACACGACACAGCAAGTTAAGATCCAAGACCCAGATCTGGTACTCAGGACCTACTCGGACACCTCTCCTGAATCTGGCAGCGTTCTCGCTCGCAGTTTCTGTGGGAACTGTGGCTCTAACATGGTGGCTCAAAATTCTAAACGCCCGGAGGCTATGGCTGTGGCGAGTGGGACGCTAGATGATGAGACGCTTCTTCGGGAGTGGACGCCGAGGTTGGAATTCTACTGTAAAAGACGTAGTGACTGGTTTTCGGGCCCTGGTCTTGAGGAGGAGAGAAAGTTTCAAGGGATGATTTGAGATGAGTGTTAGAAGGAGCTTGTTCTATGTGTTACTGTTATTTGTATTTAGTCCGGGTCTTTTCCGCAATCGTGATGTTCAATACCCGCACGTCTTGAGAGAACCTTTTGTGTTTTAGGCCCCTGTGTGTATATTTCGATATATTTGGGGTTCTGGGTCAGGTGACGGGGAGTTGGATGTTATTCGCTCTTGGAGTTTTTCCGGCGAGGATGATTGGGGTGATGGGGGGAGTCACAGTACTACTGTGCTTGGGTGTGTTGAGATTTTAGAGATTTGTTGCACTGGGAAATACCCTTATATACGTTTTCTGGAAAAGGTCATGTCAGCGCCTTGGGGGAGGTGGGTTCCACTTCTTAAGAGTGTTCTTTTTTACATAGACGACGAGACCTTGTGCGTGGATTTGTGGTGATACTAGAATATACTACAGATTAGTGATAAATCCTTGATAGATCTAATCAAGCTGCTTGACATTGTCGTACATATACCCATAAAGCAAACTATCTACTTGGAAAGAGCAACCATTTCGTACATACCAGCATGCAACGCCACCCATATTGACCGAAGAAATTGTATATATATCATAGAGCACCAAGTATACCGTTCCAAAGAATCTACTGCCCGCAGTAAGCACTGTTTAAAGACACACACTAACGTTTATTGACCAGTAAACCCACGTCACGAACCACCCATCAATAATAACCACCTCCAAACTCTCTCCTGGCCCAGTGCTCATGATATGTGCTTGTATCTCGGTGTCCACTGAGTCCCAACTGTCCTGCAACATTAACATACCCCTCCTCATTGACTTTACCACGCTTACTAATTCCCTTGAGATCTTTCTCGTCGCCTTTCCATGGAGTTCGACAGTATACACACTTGACTTCTCCCGGTTTACTCCGAGCCCACCGGTCAAAGCAACGCTTGTGAACGTTGTTTCCACAAGCAGCTTTGCACCAAATGATCGTGTCGGACTTGTCAGATTCCTCAAATTCCATTACACAAATGGGACAATCGCCTTCGATTGGTTTGCGGTGCCCTCCTGTCTCTGTGGCGGTTGCAGTCGCTCCATCTGACTGTGGTCTGACAGGAGCGTTGCTAAATATTTCCTCAAGTTCGGTAGTCAAGAATGCGAGTTGGTATGCTAAGTCCTCCCGAGCTTTGAGGACATTAACAAGAACCTAATCCTTCAGCGACCAACCTTGTATAGAAAAGGGTATGGCTTACGTAGATGATATGTTTGCATTGGTTGCCCTTTGATGAATCCGGGCAGGAACAGTCTAGAACTTTTGAGATAGTAACATTGTAAACATTTCCAGTAGTTCCAGCAATGTCAAATACCTCCTCTTCATGTGTTCCGTCTTCACTGGTACTCCTATTTCGGTCAAGTAGAAACATTCGTTGGATTCTTACACGATGAAGTCGCTCGATATAAGTGCGAGGAGGCCGGGCCCGGTGACGCTTGAGACGTTTTTCTTCACCATTCTTCTTTCGAGCTCGTTTTGGCTTCGTCTCTTCGAGATCGGGAGAATCATATTCGTCGTCTGTGTTGGCGGCCTTGCGCTTTTTTGATTTCTGGTTATCGTGTGGACTTGCCAGCTGAGCACGCTTGTGTCGGGACGATCCCATGATAGCTACAGACTCTGAGAAGAATAAAAATAATTGAAGAGGACAATAAAACAGATATTGGTGTATCCTCACATTAGAAACATAAGGAGTGGGAGAGCCTTGGAGATGGCTTTCTTTTTCTACCACTGGGTGTGACAATTTGCAGTCTCGAGGCTCTAAGCTGGAACTGGGCAGAAAAGCGGGGCGGCGACATCACGCTTTCACGTGACTTTACCAATCCGTATTTGATCTAGCGCCAAATTCCAATTCTCGCAGCACAAAACCTCCGCGATGGCGCTGGCCTTCGCTCTTCTTTCTCATAGTCTTTACATATAACCACGGCATTCTATATACCCCTGTTCTGGCTCTCAATGTCATCTCCGGATACATTGACTACAAGATAGCCTTTTCATATTACTGAATAGCCCAGAACGACCACCTTTTAAAATCCTGTCGCTGCTGGAGTGAATTTTCACTCTCATAGTGTGCCAGGTTCGCTTAGTGTGAACATACGGATTTCATGAGCAGGTAATTGATGGATCAATTAATCAGGAATGGATCCTCTTGTGTAAATCTGACTTGATGGCTTGTCGGTTTTGGGTCTCACACAGATGCAGACCAACGTTGCAAGACTAAACTCATTATCCGGACCCGATTGATACTTTGCATGTCTGCTTCTCTTCTGCTGGTTAGCTTTTAGAGCCACTGGCTATATATGCCGAATTCTGCTCGATTCTCGAGGCTAGACAGTCTTGAGGGCGTGCCACATAACGACGATTCAACAACTGCCGACCTTTCATGGGCATCTTCTCATGTTCCAGACGTCCTCCTGCATTCAACAACTGGCCTCCTGACATTCCCGCAAAGCCTCAGCCGACGAAAGCACAAGGCAATACTTGACCATCTTGTAGCCGTGCCTTTGGGCTATCTGAAAGGATTGTCGTACGGACAACCATGTACCATGGACCAAGCAATATGCTCATGCCGGAAGGTATACACGGGGCATTCGTAGTTCTCCTTTCAGACCCATCATCTATGATATAGAGAACGATCAAATTCTCTGTAGTCTTTGAAGTTGCAAGTTCCAGTGATGGCGCACTGCCAAACTCGATACTCTGATTAGGAAAGCTATCGGCTCTTCTGTAAATCTCACACAACTTACATCGTCAATGTACTTACTACCAACGGAATACTTCCATGGGTGGTCTTGCTTCGTACTAGGAACCTTTGAATTTCTTTTTTTTCGCGCCTTCTATTTGATACTTCATTGAGCATATTTGCGATAACCCATCTCAGCCGTGCTGGTATTGTTTATTTCCATTCTATTCCAAAGATGCTGAGTTATGATTGTTAATCGGTCAGGACCTGAAACGAATACATGGATGAGAGCGAGCTGACAATAGACAAAATAGGTAGCTGATGGCAAATTAAGAATCCGGAGAAAGATTTTCATGTGCTTTGGAGATGTCTGGGAGAATATCGATCACTACTACTGGTCATTTTGGAGGCTAATGGGGATCCCCGCATTTTGGATTTTCGGCTAGGAGACACAAATATGGGACTTGCTCAATCTGGGTATGACAACCCTATTGGAACGAATTTCAGTCATTAATGCCAACATATGAATCATGTAAGGGTGTTATTGCGTAAAGTACCAAACAGTGATTGTCAATTCTTTATCTGGAGTCCAGCCTACGTCTTGGAAATACAGCAGCAAACTAGATTTAAAACTTGTAGAATTTGAAGTTCTAGAGACCATAAACCCCAACATGCCTAAAACACTCTTCTAGAAGCCAGTAGTGTTGAAGCAAATTCCACACGGCTACCAGTACTCGTCCCGAGCTCGAGTACTGTTCGCAGCTGCGGGGTGTGGCTTTAGACATGTCGGCTAAACCTCAACAACAGCCGATGTATATGCAATCCAAAGCATAGTTGGATCTATAAGTTTGACCAGCGCCTATCATCCTGTCCACCACTACTAATAAGAAATGTCCGCTGTAGTGCCTCCAGATCCCTCGCAGGCATCTTCGTCAGGTCAGTTTCCCCCTCAGGCCAGCACGGCCTCAGCTCTACACACCCCCGGGCACTGCTAACCATCTGCCATAGCTCCAAATCCCAAGAAGAAGACCAACAAGAAGAAAAAGAACACCAAAAGCAATGGTGATACGGGCAAATCGCAGGGTGCAGGACAGGATCTGCCGACAAAAAATGGGGATGGGGAGGGAGATCCCGAGGACTCGGGGCAGTCTGCGTTGGTACGAGTGCCACCTGTTCAATTCCAAAAAGTACCATGGTTGGCCCCATTCTAACCACGCCAATTAGAACACCCCAAACGAGAGCAGCTTTCCAGAGGACCTTAGAAGCCAAACAAACGGTCACAATCACGATGCTGCGAGCAATGGCGACGGGCCCAAGCAACAGGCCCCCACCACGCACGTAGTGAAGATCAGCCCCGGTACTGAGAAGAACGTGAGCAGTCAGTTGGCGGACACGTCTGATGCGAGCTCCCGACTCGAAGCAATGTCACAAGAGCGCGAAGCTTTGAGGGCGGAGGTGGAACAGCTACGGAAGTCTCTGGAAGACATACAAGGCAAACACGCGGAGGAGTTATCTGCCGTTAAAACCCAGCATGCAGATGAGGTCTCGTCGATTCAAAAAAAGCATAGCGAAGAAGTTGCGGCTGTAAAAACTCAATTCACAGAAGAGATATCGACCATAAAAACGGAACTGGAGGAGAGCGAAACAGCAAAGGAACATGCCGAAACCCAATACCAACACTTGCTTGGCCGTATAAACACAATAAAGTCGAGCTTAGGAGAACGTCTGAAGGCAGATAAACAGGAGCTAGAGGAAGCCAAAGAGCAAATCGAGGAACTGGAATCTCAAAATGAAACTTCTCAAAATCGCATTCAAAGCCTTGAGGCGGAATTGAAACGACTAGAAGCAGAATCCAAAGATTCGTCGAAAGAGCTCTCATCTCTACGCAATCGGCACAACCTCTCCCAACAAAATTGGGTTCATGAACGGGATGATCTGGTACAACAGAACAAGCAATTAAGAGATGAAGCAGAAGCTGCCAAGGAAGCCATGGGTGATTGGGAGGTGTTGGCCATGGAGGAAAGGTCGATGCGAGAGGGTCTGACGGAAAGGATTCGAGATCTAGAAGAGCAATATTCAGCGCAGAAAGAAGCATTCGAGGAAGCTGTAAGCGAAAGAGACAGCCAATTGCAATCACTTGAGGGCTTGCAAAGAGCATTGCAAGAAGTCCAAGAAGCCCGCAAGAGAGAACTGCGTGAGATGGTGGAATCTTACGAAGAACAACTTGGAGCTTTAAAGAAGCTTGTCCATGATTCAGATACCCGAGCTACCGAAGCTGTAGAGGGAAAGGAGTCCTTGCAAACTGAACTTGATAGGCTAGCGCCCTTCGAAAAGGAAGTCAAGGAGAAGAACCTTCTGATTGGGAAGTTAAGGCACGAGGCAATTGTTCTTAACGATCATCTTACAAAAGCTTTACGATTCCTGAAGAAAGCCAAACCAGAGGATAACATAGATAGGTATGGAAACCCCCTAGGTTCTTATTTTCTATCCATCTAAACTAATAAAACCCACAGACAAATCGTCACAAATCACTTCCTCCACTTCCTCGCTTTAGACAGAACCGACCCAAAGAAGTTCCAGATCCTCCAACTAATAGCCGCTCTCCTCAACTGGACAGAAGAGCAAAGAGAACAAGCCGGTCTCGCAAGACCCGGTGCAGCAAGTAGTAGTCTCCGTCTCCCCGCCTCGCCCTTCCACCGCACACCCAGCACGCCCTCCCTCTCCACGGAGTATAACTTCAGTGAACCATCCGGACAGAAGGAGTCGCTCGCTGATCTCTGGACTGGGTTTCTCGAGCGTAGCGCGGAGGAGGGCTCCGTTGCTGGTGGGAGTCGGAGTGCGAGTGTAAGTAGTGCGGCGACTCCCCGGCCGGGGACGAGAGGTGATGGGGGTAGGTAGTGTGTCCAGTGGCTTTTATTGTGGGGGTATGGGAATCTTGTTTGATGTCGATTGTTGGTTTGTGTACTATATGAAATGGACATTGCGAGAGGCGTTTTTGGGGGGGTGTGGTTGTGTTTTTCTTTCCCCAATCGCTTTCTGGGGCGGATGAGCTCAATTGGGCTTCTTGTGCAGAAACTGCATAGTAGCTTTTCTTCTTACTTCTTTTCCTTCTTTTTACGTCTTACAGAATTTTAAAATGAACACTTCTTTAGGTTCCTCGATTTGTAGATAATGATTGACATCTCGAATTCCCTTTCCATTCTATTGTAAAGGTCTGTGAAATGAAACAGGTATCATATAATTATATATAACCTATAGATGTGAGATACTAGGTGATTATTTCTAATCCATCGAACTTGTACGGAGACCACGTTAGTAAATTGTAATGAGCTATTTGTGGGTGGCGCGCTATTGGTTCATTCTTTTGTTTGCTGGTGCGGTGCTTGTTTGGGAGTTCGATGTGTGTGGGTAGGAAGGGTAGGAAGGGTAGTATAATATCTCAAACACTTGATTATTCCAGAAGATAAACCAGAAGATAAATACGAGGAAGTAGAAGGTGAGATAAGTCAAGGAGAGACACAAGCCAGGGATCATTAGCTCTTTCGAAGTCTTCATTCTACGATATCTGTCCATGATGAAATTTATACAGTATTCGAGGCTATGTAAGTCTTGCCCAGACCAAACTAGAAGGTAACCTTCTTTCCCTTACTCTCGATGATACCACCCGTGAGACGGGCTGCATAGGGCTTCCGGTACTCGACGGTTTTGGAAGGAACCACCACGTTACTCTCCGGTGCGGATTCCCCAGCAGGTTGTTGTGGTTGTTGCTGTTGCTGTTGCTTGGTGCCATCCTTTCCGTAACGCTTCTTGTATCTGACTTGAGCGTCTTCTGCGAATTCCATCCTCAAGGTTCGACCGTTGATTCTGTTGCACCAGACTTTCCGTATGATCGTCGTCTTAGGTTTTGGTTTGGTGATGGTCTCTGCTTCTGAACCCATTTCGCTGTCGGAATCTGCCTCCGACTCGGATTCGGAGTCAGATGCTGATTCATCCACGTGGAAGAAACCACGCTCGGCATTCTGTGCTGCTTCCAATTCCTCAAATTGGATCCATCCATATCCCTTGCACTTTCCAGAGTCCTCGAACTGTGCAAGTTTGACGCTCTGAATGGCCCCGCACTTCTCGAAATGCTCCTGAACGCTTTCCTCTGTAGCTTCGAAGGCAAGATTTCCCACGAAGACTCTCTTGCTCGGTGGCTTTCCTTCTTTTCGAGTTTCCTCTTTTGTCTTTTGGGGCCGCCCTTCGAAAGACTTGTGGTTCTTGATCAAGACCCTTCGTCCTCCCAATAATTGCTCTGATAACTCAAGGGCCTCTGTAACTCCTGCCTCGGTGGTGAAGTCAACGTAAGCAAAACCTTTGTTGTGAACCGTCTTTCCATTTCTCTTCTCCTCGACCGAGTTTGCTGATTTCTTGTCGTTGGGACCAGGCATGTGAATTCTGGTGAGCATCTCATCCGTGATATCAGATTTCTCAACGAAGAATTTACGAAGATCCGTCTTGGAGGTGTGGAAGGCGAGATTTCCGATCCAGATGGCGTGTTCAGATCTCTTCTCTACTTCGGCTTTTGGTTTTTTGGCCTCGCCGTCCTTCATGGGTTCCGCGCCGGATTTTGATGGTGGTAAAGGTTTGCCCTTTTTGAGAGCACGGAGGGCTTTCTTGGATGGTGGCTCGGGGGCGGTAACGTCGACCTCGATCTCTTCGCCAAGTACAGATTTGCGCTTTTTAGAGGGTGGATTATCGGATGGTTCTTCTTGTACTGGGTTGGCGTCTTCCATGGACACATCGTCTTCTGGAGATTTTGCGACCACGGGCTCCTCGGTCAGAGTCTCTGCTTTTCTCTTCTTGCTAGATTTCTCTTTGGTTGATGACTTGTCTTTGGATGATTCTTTCTTTTCCTTCTTCTCCTTCTTCACTTTCTTTTCAACCTTTTCACCTTTTTCTTTCCTCTCCTTCTTAGCCTTCTTTGCTTCGCCGATGGCCAGATACTTTAGATCAATACCTCCATCTGAAATGTCCTCCGGACTTGACTCCCGCGCGGATGGCATGGCTGATCTTTTTCAATCTACCTTTGATTAAATTTTGATCAATTCCTGATTTTCCAGATAAGTAGGTCGAAGGAAAGAGTTCCTCGGTCTGTCGTTCTCAAATTTGGGGCGAAAATCTTTTAGGCCGGTGGGGGACAAGCGCAAGATTTTGGTGAGTCTGAGTTTTCCAACAGAGGTGGATGGGACCAGACTCGATGTATCTTGGAATTAGAAATCTTTCTCCTGCACGCGTACCAGTATAATGTAGCAACACCAATTGCGACAAGAAACAGAGGAGTTGTAAAGTTTGTTGTAATGGAGCACCTGATTCACGCTGACATCGACCATGATGGAGAATACATTTTTGATAAAAAGTTAAAGTGGGACCGGGCAAACGATATTGCGAGGCTAACCATTTTGGGGTGTACTACCGAACTACCAGAAGCGACAGGGGACCACCGGGGCCTCCAGTCCACGCGACTGAGGGCGAACGTAACGCTTCTGACCATCAAGCGATCTTAGACTACGTCAGGAACCACGACACCACTCAGTTTCCGTGCAATCTAGCACTTCACAGCACTTGCGAATATCTACCCATCGAAACATATACTTTGTTGAATTTAATCACTCCCAGCAATTAGTGCCCCGCGATTGTCCGCGACAATGGGAGGTAAATCCTTTACACTGCCACCAAAACCACCCCAAGATGAGGTCGCTCCTGCCTTGGATGGGGACCATCAGGATACAGCAGCAGGTGCGCATGGAAAGAAAGGGGAAGATGGCAAACCTACCTACAAATCCTTCAAGTAAGTAACCCTTTCCGAGAGCCGTATCTTGATTGCAGGGTGGAAGAACACTGCCTACATTCTACATCCGATCCACTGCCACGATGACCGACCCATCCTCCAAACCTCAACTTGCGGAACGAATTGGGACGAATACAGGCATCCGGCCAAACATGGTTGTATGGGCTATACCTGTGACTGCTGTGGATACAAATCGGCTCGTCGCAAACACGCTCAACGAACCTGCGAGAAATGTTGGCCTCTCCCAAGTGCCCATGAGAGGAAATCCCTCAGCTACGCACCACAGCCCAGAGGGACTGATCTCAACCACACATATAAATTTCAACAGCAGACGTATTTCAACTGTGTCTACCATAGCAGATGTGTCTATGGACTCTGGCAGTGGATCTTCAGATGTGGCGGAATTCACGAATAACAGCAGCAGCGCCAGTGGTTCAAGGGAGCTAATAAAGAACCCTAGGAAAAAGTTTCGAAAACTACGAATCGTATTTGATGAGAAGATGCGACTTAGCAACGATCTTTATGAGAGAGAACAGAAGCTAGAGGCTCTGATCAAGAAGCTCGCTTTGGAAAATGAGTAGGTACACCCTTTTCCATGTGTTTCCTTTTCCATCAGCTAGAGACAACTAACTAACAGCTCCATTTCAGCCAAATTCTTGACCTCCTACTTGACATCAATGATTCCCCCCAAATACCTGCTGAAAAACGGTTCGATCTATCAACTGATGCCCCAGGCGTGCCTTCACTCCACGCAGTTCCTCCTTTGGTCAGCCATGAGGATATCACTAAAGCCGCCGAACTCGATACTCCAGCTGGTCAAGCGATATACAAGGAGATCCGTAAGATGCTTGATGAGAAGACAGCTGCTACTGCAGCAGCTCATAACGTCGGCAAACCACCAAAACCCCTTTGTATCCTGGAAGGTACAATTCCTCATCTCTCCACGTCGAGTCAGCAACTTCCCAAGGATTTTCTCGAAACTCTCGAAGTCCCAGAGGGTCATAGTGTGCCATTGACGTATACAACTCCGGATCAAATCGATGACTACCATTTTGATATTGATGCCTCACTCGGAACTGCCCCACCAGCTCCTCACCCAAATCCACCGCCAAATCAAGATCTTGCTCTTCGAAACCCCAATAGCGTATACAACTGGCTTCGCAAGAATGAACCCAAAGTCTTCCTCCAAGATAACGAAGGCAGCGAAAAGTCTCTCGGAAAGCCTGGTGCTCTTCGCGGTGCCGGAAAACGTGCAAGTATGCCTGCGCCTTCTAAGCCAGATGCTTTAGAGTTTGTGGAAGAAGATGGCATTGGTTATGATCCTTCGGTGGCTGGTCAACAAGCAACCATTAAGGGCAAAAGAAAGAGAGAGGAAGGCGATGATACTCCGTATCACGGCAAAGCTGGAAAGGTTGATGACTCGGGTACGAAACCTAGGGTTAAGCGGGCATACAATCGGAGAAAGAAACCCAAAAACGGTGATGCCGAAACGCCAGTGAAACCTGAGAAGAAGAAGGGAGGTAGAAAGGCCAAAGAGAAGTTGAGCAGTCCACCCCCTGGTCAACATCCATTTGGCCCTATGTAATAAATACTATGGAAGGAACGGAAAATCGGCGTTTCAGGCAATACCATTTGATTTGAGAGTCATAATATACTTGTACAGTATGCGAGAACTAGGGTTTAGGGGAAAATAGAATAACTGATACACCAAAGTATAGGGACCCCAAAGTTTCGTTATCATTGTAGTTTTTTAAGCAGTCTTCCATTCAACGTGCGTATAGGCACCGTAGTTGTTGTTCAAGCAAGGTCGCAAATGGTCCCCGAGTGAGGATCAATGAAAGTATCATTGCGTTGCCTTTCATTCTGAGCCTACAATGGCGCAAGAGCCACGGAATATACTAGACATCCATCGTTATTTTTCCTCAAATCGTTTTTTCCGATTGCGCCTTGGAATCTCGAGTTATTGTCAAGCTTTAATGCTAAGTGTACGCACTCAGTGCCATATTTTAGCGTGATTCCTGCGTGCAATGCTTTGATTTTGTGGATACATAGACGGCTCTCTAATAGGCCGTCGACGGCACTCGAGAAATAAACATACTGATGGGAAGTTCTCTTTTTGTTTCGTTTTACTAAGAATATCAATGTTTCTGGATACTTCTTATTGGAAGGGAATTGGACAGATGGGAGAAGGGGGAGGTGGTATTTGGTGTGTATGTTCATCGTGTGGGATTCCTTTCCTGTTGGATTTGTTAAGGTTGCTACTGTAGGGTTGCATGGTACGTGGAGAGAAGGAAAGGAGTAGAATGGTACATTCCTAACCTAAAGCTTTTGCAAGAAGGGGATTCTGGATATTCTCTATGAGATGTGTCGATTTTGTAGCTTGATTTGGTGGTCCTCTTGACGAAGCTGGGATTTATGGAAATGATGTAGCCTCCTTCCTGGTTTAATTGGGATCTAATTGCGTGGTTTGGAGGGGATTTTGAGGAGATATTTTTTAACTTTTTGTCGTGCGGTATCTAAGAAAGTAGAGGAAGATCAGATGTTGGGTGTTGGGATTGAAGCTGCGATGAATGCAGCAGGTAAATCTCTCAACGTAAGATTCCTGAATGAGAGACATGAGAGCGCGTTATGGCTTGAGTTTGAATTTGAGCTAGAGGATGGGAACCAGTTGTCTGAGACGGAGATAATTGTTAATCGGACACACGTCCCGAGATTCAGTGAAGAGGAATTGAAGTCATTCAAAAGGGTCTTGATCGATCTAGAAAAGAACTCGACAGGAATCTTTTGGAAGTGACTGGCGCTGTGTGAGAGTAAGTAAGTACCCTGCTGTCGATTAATCTCTGAAAGGCAAATTTGTTGATGGAGACTTATCGATGTGGATGGAAATTGAATAGTCGTGGTCTATGAGCCTTGTCGTTATGTGACTTTATCTTACATATGTGGAAATGTAACGCAGCCGCAGTTCACTCCATCAGATCAAGAAATCCTATCAGAAGAAAAAGGGTCTAGCCATCAAATTGCTTGAACTTACGTGTTTAGTTAGAGATATCATGGATGTCACTGTTGTTCCATAACTTCTGAATTAACTCCGGGCTGAATAGAGAAGTGGAGAAACCACTAGCTTGAATGCTCTTATAACTTTGATCTTGGCCAACTTTTGTGACTCGTGTGATGTATACTGCGGCAAGGTATCTATATCCTCTTCGACGGTCACCAAGCAGCTTGGGGTGAGTTACCTCTAGGTCGACGCACTTTGCAGCCAGCAAAATGACGAACAAGATATAGCAGCTATAATGACCAATATGCAAGTTATAACGAAAGTGATATCAACAAACCCAAATCCTTCGATTATATTACCAGTTCTCCATGGCTGCTCGGGGACGAAGCCAGTTTTGCGGATATTTTCAGGAAATGCAGGTGGTTGTTCCTTTACATGATCACAAGAAATATGTTTATGATATGGAGGGATAGGTTTTGGAATTCGAAGGCATGAACTGATCAGAAACGACAACTCTTGAAGCGGTTGCTCTTCTCTACTGGTTCTCAGGCTTCTTTCTTTTTCCCGCATGCCACCTTCGAAGACACAAAGCCGGTTGTATATCCCTATTTTTAACCAGCGCCTATTATGCTTCAGTCGCAATTCTATAGCTTTCCTTTGGACTTGTAAGTTGAGATTTGGGTTTATCCTACTAGGTACGATTACCACTTTCTTTATAAAGCCTCTAAGACGGATAGTGTTCTTACGAGTTCTCGTAAGCGAAGAGATTGAGGGACAAATCGAGTATCCACTATACCAATACAGGCTGATATAAGTTAGTGATACCAGCGCTATGACTCATTTCAAGATCCAGAAGCCAAATAAATGGAATGTTTACAGAGAGGCTGTAAATGCTTTTACACGCCACAAGATCACTTACGACAAGGATACAGTCAGCGCCTTTTAGGTTATTTTTAGGTTGGTTCTTTATGGAGCGAATGCGGACTTTCACTAGAGCAATTTTGCCACGGATCTTTTAAGTTATAAACGTCTCAGAGCTCCTTCCAAGGGTTGGACAAGATCCGTGCTAAGAACACTATTATAACTTGTGGAGACGGGAGGACCGAGTGTTATTGAATATAAAAGAAATCAATCCTCTAAAAACTTAAGTATAATCGACTTGATTTTTTTTAGTAACCGTGCCACCCATTTAGGCACCTCGTATTCGATTTGCGTTTAAATTCTCGTCGTATCAAAGATGTAATTCAAATCCTGTAGCTTATCTTATTATAATTCTTTTATCAATCGAAGTTACAAAACCACTACAATATTTATAGACTTAGACATTTATACACTACAAACGTTGTTTATATTGTAAGAGTTCCGTGGCAGAATCACTCTACTACAGAGGTACGTGTGGCTTCAAAAATGAGGTTGGGCTGATTGGAAAGAAAGTTGTCATTATCGAGGTTGTGTGGATGCAACAACCGGACCCAGTCTATTTCCTTTTTGAGCATCGGTTAGAGTTCGTCCAGAGTTTACCTCATGACCATAGCATTGATCCCATAAAAGCCAAGCAAAATTTCCTTGATGGGGAACGGACGAGTGCTTGTGCGAATTAATTCCAACCGGATGGATATATAAATCCGACTTTGAGATATCGGGTTGGAAGAGTGTGTATGACGAGAAGATGAACCGACGGTTATACTCATGATTCGTATCTATAGATGATATTCAATTATCCCATTGATGTTCCCGGCGAGGATATTGTAGAACTTCCAGACATGAAAGGCCCAAAAGGTGCTCTTCATTTCAAGGCACACTCAAACCAGGTCCAATCTGGTGATATAAACACCACAGAATTCACAGAGAAATTCGAAGCACGATCTTTCTCCAAGTTTGTCTCGAGGAGGTTAATAAAACCGCAACTTATAGACCGTTCTGCCAGCGAATAGTCTGCCACCGAGGACACCGTGCCGGCTTCCTAGTCCTCAGCAACTCTCTTTGAAGAAATAGACCGCACCTAAACGACAGACTTACGATTAGTATCCGTATTCCGCGACGATCTCCCACGCAAAGCAACACCAAGACCCGAGATGGAGACTTACAAATTCCTCCGACCTGTTTAGGCTCTGTGTACCCATTCCTGTAGTCAAAAGGAACCTCAGGCCCCAGAGAAGTTGCAAGCTAGTATTTTGCTTGTTGTGGAGAAAGTGATACCCGCCATCAGCCTGAAACTTGGGAATGAATGGGTTGTGGGATGAATTGAGGTATGAGGATGTGGTCCTTCCGCTTCAAGTGTTTTGTTGGTGAGGCAGAGGGGAGAGGAGGTGTGGGAGAGAATTGGGTGGGGAAAGTCCATTTTTATCCTTTTCATCATGCGGGGCGAGGATAGAACCTTTTAAGTTAAGGTGAGTTCACATTTGGGTTCGTTAAATTGTTACATACAATCGTCGTTACTTTGGAGCTAGAGGAAAGACTATCACTAGCATTGGCTTGGGTCTGGCTTGCAGGCCATTTCCTCGTTGTCCCTCCTTTTCGGGTTAGTTGCAAGCAATTAACTTAGATCTTCTGGTGCAATCAAATCAATTGCCGTGCGATCTTTGGTTAATAGTTTTTGTTGTTTGAAATAATGACTAGAATAACTAAGGCCTTCGAATTGAGTTACAAAAACTAAGTCGACGGTTCTTTACTGCCGTTCACGAGTCTGGATAAATAGTGGGTCTCTTGACCGGGAACCTTGTCACGGATTTTAATTCTCCATGGCTGTGGTAACAATATAGCACAAACACTTCCCCGCCAGAGTCTCAATTTCCTACTGGTTCAGCCTGAAAGAAAATCATGGGGCCGATCTTTATAAAAAGGCTTTTCACTGCAAGTTCTTGAAATTTATCGTTCATGGTCTACCCGCCACAATGTATTCGCTCATTACCTCCTCTGCATTTTTCTATTTGACGTTCGCCACTGCTGTACTAGGCCAGAATATAGATTCAACTCCCACGTCCGAAATTATTGAGCGTGCGACTCTCGCAACACCATGTGTCTGTACCGATTACTCGCAGATAGCGCCTGCAATTCAAGCATGTAGTAGTATCACGCTTTCCAATATCCACGCTCCTGTGAGCAGCACCATCAGTCTCATGCAACTTAAACCTGGGACGACTATTACGTTCGCTGGAACCACGACATTTGGGATCACTGAAAACTCGCAGTTCAGACCAATTCAAATTTCCGGGAGCAACGTTACTATTAAGGGAGAAAAAGGTTGTGTTATTGATGGTGGTGGGCCGGACTATTGGGATGGGTTGGGGTCAAATGGGGGACTTCCAAAGTAAGATATTTTGCTTTTATTGCGTACTTCTGATCATTTGCTTCCTTCCACTCTTACAAGACCCTGGAAGCTCATTACCGTTCTCGTCGAAAGGCCAAGTTTTGATAGATGATCCCGTACCAATTTCGTATTTTCTTGTATGAAATAATGAGATATAGCTGTTTATCGAGAAAGAAGAACACTAACACCGCCAGACCTGGTCAATTCATGAAAATACAACTCACCAATCACTCCACTATCGAAGACCTGAAAATCATAAACTACCCATCACACGGTATCAATCTAGCCGGAATGCACGATTCCGTTGTAAGAAGAGTAATCATCGACAATCGCCTGGGCGATGCCCCAAACAGTATCAGTAATGGACTTTCAGCTGCCCACAATTCGGACGGCTTCAATGTAGGAAACTCGGTTAATTTGCGGCTTGAAGACTGCCAGGTGTGGGACCAAGATGATTGCGTTGTGGTTTCGGACTCGGAGAATATTACCGTGAATAATTTCTACTGCTCTGGATCCCATGGTCTTTCGATTGCGGGTGGTGGTACCGGGGTGGGACATAACATTACTAATATTCTGTAAGTTTACTCTTGCGTCTCTCCAACCGCGAAGACCGACAACTTACATCCACAGTTTCCAAAACTCAATCGTCACCAACTCAACCATTGGTGTCCGCATAAAAACGGATCAAGGAGCTACAGGCAGTGTTGTAAACGCAACATGGTCTAACATAACGCTCTCCAATATCAAGAAAATCGGCCTTGATATCCAACAGGACTATGGCAATTCGGGGAGTGACGGTAAGCCCACGAATGGTGTTCGAGTTGCTGGTATTACGTTTAAGGACGTCGTTGGTAGTGTGGTATCTCAGGCTAGGAACTATTATATTCTTTGCGGTGATGGTAGTTGTTCAGGTTTCAATTTCAATAATGTAAAGATTACGGGAGGGAAGGGTGACAGTTGTAATTATCCTCCGTCGGGTTGTCCGAAATAGCGACTTAGCTCTTTTGGTCAAATATAATCGATGCTTCATTGTCGTTGGGCTTTTGAGATTTCTGTGACAAATTTCTATGTTGAAGATCAACAATTACAAGCCACTTGTTTGGAAAGCAACCAAAACCACATGATCATCTCGGCTAATGCTTTGTATTCACTCGCGCTAAATGCAACTACATTTTCTGTGATGTGGCTACTCACTGGTCTGAGAGCACATGTTTGCGTTACGCAGGGTATGGGATGGCCCTAACTCGGTAAACTTTTAGGGTTCCGGTGTTACGATACGAGAGGCCAATAGCCAATATATCGATGAGGCCATATGTGATAGCTGCGAATGTTATAACACTCATTTCTACTTGTCAATTGAAAGTTCGGAAACAGTTGCTTTGACCTCTAGAGTCTGTTGGTTTTTGAAGAAGTCGTCAATTTTATCACTCAGTGTTATGAAGCTGCAAATATAAACTTAAAAAGTTTGGCATTGTGACATAAGAAATTAAAGTATCTGCAGAGAATGTAAAGCCCCTCCTAAAATATAAACATGAACACTCATTCACTCAAAAGTGAAACAGCCACCGATTATCAACTTCCAACCCATCCCCTTCTTCTTCTCCTCCCCCAAAGGATACCAATTATGGTAAACTATTTAAGCGGCGGAGTTGGAGTTGATCCAGTTGACATAGTTGCCAACACGGGTGTAGACACCTGGGAAATCAGGACGGGCGCATCCAACTCCCCATGATACAACACCATAGAGAGTCTTGCTGGAAGCATCGACAATTGGTCCACCAGAGTCACCACCGCAAGAGTCCTTTCCACCACCGTTGACACCAGCACAGAACATGTTGTTGGAGATGGTGTAACCGGAGTAGTCAGCTGCGCAGGTGTTGCGAGCGATAACGTTCACGTCAACCTTTTGGAGTCTGGCTGGGAGGCCGTTGGCGGTCTCGGTCAAAGTTCCCCTATTTATTGTATTAGTCTTCGATTCCAAAGTATTTGCAAAGGTTTTGGAGTAGAACGTACCATCCAGCAACGGTGACAGTAGTACCAGCAGCTGGGTCAGAGCCCTGAGCTGGGAGAGTAGCGTAACCAACGGTGGAGCTTGTTGGGATAGCGGTGGCCAATTGCCAGACGGCAATGTCGGCATCGGTGGTACTTGGGTTGTAGTTTGGGTGGGAAATGATTCTGGAAACACCAACTTGAGTTCCGCCGGAAGCGTGGGTCTGTTGGGTAATCAGTTGCTGTGCGTACATATATGAAGAATGGCAAACTTACAACTGTTCCAACGCGGACTCTGACAGATGAAGCAGATTGCTCAGAGCAGTGTGCAGCAGTGACGACAGTTCGGGAGTTGATCAAGACACCACCGCAGAAGTGAGAACCACCAGACGAGAGACTGACAATATATGGGAACTCGCCAGCAGCTGCGGCGACTCCACCAACAATTGGGTTCAACTCGGGTTCACTCTCTTGACGAGCAACGATCTCGGTTGGTGCTGCCAAAGTGGCTGGCACAAATGCTGCGATAGCAAGAGCGATAGCGAGAGTCATCTTAGGAGCCATTGCGAAAGATTGTTGTATCGAAACTGGAAAGTTTTAGATAAGTGATTGGAGTGAGTGTGGAAGTTGAGAGAGAACTGTAGAGATGATGAGTGAGGATGAAGAAGGAAGAGTAAACTGAGGAACTTGTCTACATTTATATATCGAAGAGACAATAATTGAGAAGCCTAGTTCATAATTGCCAAGTATGTAGCAGTTAGTCACAGCCACATGTTTGCAGTGTTGAGTGGCGATGGCTCTCGTGGGTTATCACTTGACCTCATAGTATTCACCGAATCTCCTTCTCAAAAGAGCGTTGGACAAGAGAGATTGATCTGCTTCAGGATTGGAGATTCCAAAATGGGAGCTCAGAGTAGAAGGTGGAAACACTACGCTAGATCTCAAGAGTAAGTGCTCGACTGACAAAAGCCAAACTCTAAAAGAGTTGTGAGGGAAATGCACTGTAAACTTGAACCTTATTCAAAAGAACCTTCCGGGTATTATCCAATGCGGGTAAAGGTACGGTCCTGAAGGATCAATTACGGGTATACCCCTTGATATGTGGATCTCCAGCCAAGCAGCACCAACCTCGGTCACTCACGAGCGAAGCCCTATAACTTCACCACAAAGCCAGGACGGAGCATAGCGAAAGAATGTGATTATTGGTGCATGCTATCTATCACTTGATAGTAGTAGTATTTCTAGAAGATTACTATAAAATTGTGAATAGAATCAATACACGGGTACTGTCTGTAGTGAAGTGTCGTCAAGGAGGCTCAGCTCGCTAAACCCCCTTGGCGAGAATTCCCAGGGATAGCATGTCCAGTGGTTGACCCCGCATCGTGATAAGAGAACTGATCAAGTTGCTTGATTGAGCAATTAAATTATGTTTTCTCTTGGAATTATATTATATTACACGGAGCTGTCCGCTAGTTGGTCGAAGCTCTCGCGCTTGAGTCTCCATAAGCTTTGAATGACTGGGTGTTTATCTTGGCATTCTTGTATACCTTCTGCTTTCGGACAGTAAGTAAACACGTCCCCTCTTCACATGGTATACAAGCCTAACTTGTCGCGGATGTCTCGCTGGCTTCTACTTTATACATTGCTTATATTTGCTTTTGATACTTGGAGAAAGCTTTGCTTGGCCTGGAAACTACAGCAGCAACAGCTTAACAACTATGTGCTTAGAGACGAAAGGCCATCGTTAGCTAACAAAATCATTATATCAATTTTGTTCTATTCACCGGTCCTTCTTTGAACCTGGCATCAGAAACTGTGATTTGGTGGGCTCCGGACTATAACTCCTACAGATTACCGGTACAGAATTTCAGCGATCTTGGCCTTGACCCAGTTATCAGTTATCTATGGGGTCTTTCCTCCAACCTGGACCATGCAGTACCCCGCATTGTGATTTTATGCATATTTATGTTCAGAGACTTTCTGAAACGGAGGCAACGACATTCAATGAAAATGATAGAGGATTCGGCTTCAAAACATGTGTAAACGTATTAATAAGTACCTTGATTTTCCGGATTTTACAGCTAAACTATACGATATGAGTTTCCGGGTCACGTGGGTGAAGCTTCCTTGTTGTTTGAAGTCTTGGAGAACCACCTGCAAATTTCACCTTCGCGGACTGAAATGATGAAATCTAGAAATTCTATATCAGACCTTGATAATCTTATGTAAGGTCTACCTCCGATCGATTGCTAGTTTACTTCGTATCTGCTCTTTGAGAGAACGTATGTCAATTTTATGCAAGTTACACATAGAACCTTTAGTATTCGTTGATATTGATACTGCTGTCCAAAAATAAGGTCCTTTGATAACGTGAACCCCGGTTTTAATGAGACGTCGACATACACTTATGCACTCAATCATTCTCTTCTTTAAGTGACTAGAGTTGTTATCTTAAACAACGCAAAGCTGAGATTAAACTTCTTGTGAGAGGCCAGACCTCGAATAGCCCAAAGGTGTGGTTTCGAATATTCAATTAAGAAGTGCGTGAAGACTACATACATGCGAGCTCTTCCTCTATATATAGAGAGGAAGAGCTTCCTGAATATTCCAAGAAACTTGCAAGAAACTTGAATGACGAATACATGATGTCAGAAGAATAAAACAAGAAAGTGTGGAAAAGTAGAAACCTGTTTGGCAGTGGGGTAATGGCCAGTGCTAAGCAGGGACTTTGGTCAGTGCTTAACGAGGACTTTGGTCAGTGCTTAGCGANGGACTTTGGTCAGTGCTTAACGAGGACTTTGGTCAGTGCTTAGCGAGGGCATGGCCCGAGCCTCCATCATGGGTTCCAACCCTCACACTTCTATTCATATCACACTACTTCAGGAATCTAAATTGTTATAACCCGATGCGGCTACTTGGCTAGCGGCAACGAAGTAAATGAGGGTGGACGAGCCGAGGGCTGAGAGCATTCCTATTAATAGCTGCAACCAGATTTCCCAAACCTATCTTCCTATATGCGTAGCTGAAATGCTCCCCCGAAAATAATTAAACTAATGTTCCTTAGTAACATTTGCGATGTCTAATAATCAATCCCTATAACACATCTTTACAGAGCGAAAGGGATGGGTACTGCATGACATTAAAGAACGAAGCTTGGCGAATCCTCATACATGAAACGAGAGACACCTCGACTGTTCTTCTCGTTTTGCCTGGTCAGCTCTTTTCTTTTCTCGTGTCTTGCAGAAGGTCTCAGAACAATTGAAGCAGATAATATGAAGAGTCTTTGCCTGTAGATTATCATCTAAATCAGCACTGAATAGCCGAATTAAAAAAGAGAAAGTGACCTGGAGCCTGACAGAAAAGGTTTTATATTGAGGCTTTTCTAAGCTCCCGAGGTCAATTCTTTCCTTAGGGCCTGTTTGGCTCGCACATTTTTTAAATATGCGCCATACAAAAAGATTTGCATACATATTAGTATATACGAGGGTGTTTAGTTAGCCGTATATCTAAATTATAAATTCATCATAAATTAGTGTTGGTTTGACTTATTATTAAATATGAGGTGCAATATAAGAAGAGGCTAAACCTTAGTATTAGACTATTCCTATTATTAATACACACCGAGTCAAAGGTGTAGAATTCGTACCGCCATAATATAGGCAGGACCAGCCTAGTCAGGTGGTCCGTACTACTGAGTATATTCACTCGGATATTATAGCGATACTAGGCCTACTTTAAAAGAAGTAAAAGACTCGGTGTGAATAACTAATTATCTAAAGTTCTTAACTAATTAAATCTATTAATTTCTCCCCTAATATTGATTAAGTTTATTAATACCTTATAATTTATAAATCTATCTAAATCTACTAATTCTCTATATTATCGTTGTTTTATCCTTTACTAATATCCTTACGTTCAACCTACTCTTCGACTATAATCTTAATCTTATTCGTATTAATAAGTATAACTAGTACCTAGTAGGGCTTTAATTTCGTTATTATATCGGTAGGATTTATAGCTCTATTAATCTAAAGGATCTTATAGATTTTATATTATTTATACGCCTAGCGTTGTGACAGACGTGCTTCAGGTAGAACTCAGAACAATTAACACTCTATTTGTGACGGTTATGGTCACGAGGGCTGGATGTCACATGCTCGCTTAGCGAGGCGCTAGCGCGCACGACCTGTATTTAGTTCCCAGCTCTCTCGAGCTCTCCTTCTTTCCTCGTCTTTTGTCCTAAGAATAGTGTGACAGACGTGCTTCAGGTAGAACTCAGAACAATTAACACTCTATTCTTAGGACAAAAGACGAGGAAAGAAGGAGAGCTCGAGAGAGCTGGGAACTAAATACAGGTCGTGCGCGCTAGCGCCTCGCTAAGCGAGCATGTGACATCCAGCCCTCGTGACCATAACCGTCACATAGGTTATGGAATCGTAGAACTGTCTATTCGAAGATTCTAAGCTGAGGAGAAGAGGAGAGCTCGAGAGAGCTTGAGTCTAAATACAATGTGGTTCGCTAAGGAAGCCACGTGATATAAATGGCACGTGACGGTCAGAACTGTCACATATCTTATATATATAACCTTATTATAGTCCTATATATAGTATTTATTATTATACTATATTATAAAGTACTTAATTAATTATTAGGATATTGTTATTCTGTTTAACCTATATTCTATATTATTAAAGTATAGAACAAAATATATAAAGGGCAGCTTTATAGTATTTAATATTAAAATCGTTAGTACTTTATTTATAAAATTTACTCGAAAATATCCTATCGAGTTCTCTATCTGTTACGGAGTTGGAGGAACTAGGGGTTGATCACGTGTAGCGCAGCATGTAGTATGTGTCACGTGCGCGCTGCTGGCATCCTGTATTTAAGCTCTCGTTCCTCTGGATCTCTCTTCCTTCCTCACTTTGTTGTTCGCTCAATACAGCAGTTTCCGTTTGACTCCGTATTCATCACAGCAAGCAGTGGTTCACTCCACACGGTTACATTACAACAAAGTCACCTCTTCGCCTGGGAAGGCCTGTTATAATATCCCACTTTGTTTATTTGTTTTTGGCTGACGAAACCACGTTATACATCCCTGAACGCAGCCGCGTTATATGTCCCTGAACGATGGCATCACCAACCCCCTCAAATGCTCGCGGAAGACGAGCTAACAGGGGCAGAGGTAGAGGTAGAACCTCCCCTGCTCACACGCCCTCACAATCCGCTGAAGCTACAATTGTTGTCCAACAAATGAGATGGCATCACCAACCCCCTCAAATGCTCGCGGAAGACGTGCTAACAGGGGCAGAGGTAGAGGTAGAACCTCCCCTGCTCACACGCCCTCACAATCCGCTGAAGCTACAATTGTTGTCCAACAAATGGATGACGAATCCCTTCTAGAAGAACAATTCCAAAGGCGCCAGAGAACTGGAAGCTTAACTCTCTCGCCGCCACCAATTACCCCCACTCAGTACGAAAATATCATGGCCAGGCTCGAATCACTTAGCCAAGAGAATGTAGAGCTACGTGCTTCGCTTCAGACACGTAACACAACTTCTTCA